AACGCATCACCCGCGGCCGTGGTGTCTTGCGGTCGGGCCTTCACCGCGGGCACTTGTGCGGTCTCATCGTCCACAACCACCACACCGTCGGCACCCCGCGTGACCACCACCGCTTGGGCCCCGCGATACTGCAGCTCGCGTCCCACTTCGGCCGCCATCTCGTCCGTCGGTTCGCGATCGGCCGGCATGCCCACCAGCATCGCCGCCTCACCCGCGTTGGGTGTGAGTACATCGACCAACTTCAACAAGTCGAGCCGTTTCAGCAAAGGCCCGGCCGGCGCGGGGTTGAGTATCGTCGTCAGCCCCGCCTCGCGTGCGCGGCGCAGTCCACGTTCAACCGTTTCAATGGGCGATTCGAGACAAGTCAGAAAGACCTTCGCCCTGGCAAACACTTCGTCCGGCACCGCGTCGACGTCGGCCGGGCTGAGTTGCAGGTTCGCACCCGAGGCGACCGCGATCGAGTTCTCGCCTTGCTCGTCGACCAGAATCAGCGCCACGCCGGAGTTCGCCTGCGGCACCACGCGGATGAACTGCCGGTCGAGGTTCTCTTGTTCGAACGCGGCCAGCGCATCGCGGCCGAACGCGTCGTCGCCAACCGCCGCAATGAACGTGACCGGGTGCAGTGCGGCTCGTGCCGCGGCGACCGCTTGATTGGCTCCCTTGCCGCCGGAGGCCCGATAGAACTGTCCGCCCAGCACAGTCTCACCGGGCCGTGGGATTCGTTCGCTTCGAATCACCAAGTCGGTATTCACCGAGCCCAGCACAATCACCTTCGAGTCTGACATCGCTTGCGGTCTTTCACAGTATATATAAGCGGCTTGGCGACACCCGCGGTGTGGCGGATGAACGACAGCTTTATCTTAGGAGTTCGCGGCTGCTAGCACCATCAAGCAACTGCCCTTGACCCCATATGCCAGCAGGCCGACACTCCCCGGCGACCCATTCGCCCAACGCCTCGCAGGGGAACGCCATGTCGATCGACACTTCGCACGCTTCCAGTTTCGCGCAAGTTCAGGACCAGTACGAGTCGTTCCCCTACCCGCCGCGAAACCCGGAAGACGAACGCACCCGGCTGAAGCGAACGTACATCGACGCGCTCGAGGTGATCAACCACTACGGCTTTCAAGGTCGCCGCGACATGCGGGCCGGCCTACGGGCACTGGTCGCCGGCGGCGGCACGGGCGACGCCGTGATTCACCTGGCCGAGCAACTGCGCGACACGCCGCAACGGGTGACGTACCTCGACATCAGCCGCGCGTCGATGGACATCGCGCAGCGACGGGCCGAAATCCGAGGGCTGACGAACATCGATTGGATTCAAGCGTCTCTGCTCGAACTCCCTAACCTCGGCATCGGCCCCTTCGATTACATCGACTGCGCCGGCGTACTTCACCACTTGCCCTCGCCGCAGGCCGGGCTCGAAGCAATCTGCAGCGTGTTGGCCGACGACGGTGTGATGGGCCTCATGCTGTACGCCAAGTACGGCCGCACGGGCGTCTATCAAATGCAAGAGATGCTGCGGCTGATGAACCGTTTCGAAACCACGGCCGAGGCGAAGATCGAAAACGCCCGCCGTGCCTTGCGAAGTTTGCCGGAGACGAACTGGTACAAACGGGGCGATCAGTTCTTCGTCGAGAACGATCAGTCGTCGGATGCCGACATCTACGACCTGCTGTTGCACTCGACCGATCAGGCTTACAGTGTTCCGGAACTTCACGAACTGCTGGGCACCTGCAACTTGCACCTCATCGAGTTCAACCCTGAACTTCGCGCGCGGTACCGACCGAAGTTCGTCGTGACCGACCCCGAGTTGCGAGCCAAGGTGATGCAGCTTTCCTTGCCCGAGCAACAGGCGGTGGCCGAGTTGTGCAACGGTTCGATCACCCGACACGAGTTCTACACGAGCCGCAATCCCGAGTCGGCCGCCAGTTTCGATTGCCTGGAAAACGTCCCCTTCTTCGGCATCGCCACCAAGGCGGTCGGCACCGAACTGACCGACCAACTGTGGGACATCCGCTTCACCCAGGCCGTCCGCATTCGCGTACAGCCCAGCCCCCTGGCCGCCGCGTTCGTCAAGCTCATCGACAACCACCGCACCCTCGCCGAGATCCACCAAACCCTAACCCAAACCACCACAGGCGCCACCGCCATCGACATCTTCAACGGCATGCGCGAAGCCTATGAGTTGCTGAACCTGGCCGACGTGGTGTTGCTACGGCATCAATCGGTGGAGTTGTATCGGCCGTTGGAAGAGCGGGGGTTGTAGGTCAAGTCAGCATGTTCAACCCGAGACCGTATTCTGCAAGCTCTGAGCGGCTGGAGGCTCAACTCTCCTCGGTCAATATCATCAGCACCGCTTGTCCGTCCTCCCCGAAGCAATAGAAGCGCACTTCTCCACGTGAGCTTCCAAGCTGGTAGTAAAACCCGAACCTTTTTAGGCTTCGCTTCGCGATGCTGCCATGGAGTGAATACCCATCGATTGTGGCTCCCTGTTCGAGAAGCAGTGCTTCGATGTGATCGCGAAGAGAAGGCAAGATCTGCGATGTGAACACGGTCATATCGGGTGCAGCCATCGTCAGGACCGTTTCTCTTTTGGCGTTATTCCAAGAAAGCGAGTGAAGACCGGAATTCCCTTCGATCGTCAAGGGAATGCCAAGCTCAGCACAGACCTTCTTCAATGCGGTCTCTTCATCGAGTGTGGTGATGAAGTCGGACGGGGTGAAAGGCAAATGCGACACGACCAATGCCAAGATCGCCGCGATGGCTACCATTGCGATGAGCACTTCCCGCACCGAGAATTGCATGAAGCGATTAGTTGGAGAGGCCACAGGAGTGATTCCTTTGAGTCAAGACTTCTTCTCAACTATAAAGCATTCTATCGACTCTATTTCCCCAAGGTGACACCGAATCGAGATCGCGGGTAGTACCCATGCATTGTCACTAACTAAGTCGACGCATGCGCCACCGCCCCAGGGGGCCGATGCGACCACCGACGAATATCTTCCGATGACGGGGGTCAAAGAGTTGACGGGCTGCGGCGTTGAATTGATCCTCGGATGTTGCCTCGAGAAAATCGGAATCGGGTAGTACGTCGACCATCGATGTGCCCTCAGGGCGGATCGCTTCCGAGGCAAGGAACTCTGCCAGACGAAAATGGCTTTCCATCCGCATTTCCCACCAGCGACGAGTTCGCTCGTGCAGGTTCTCACGCTGCTGCGAGTCGATTCCCTCTTCGGCAAACCGTTGCCCGCGTTCAACCAAATACCTTAGGGCATCCACAGCCACCTTCTTGTTGACTGACAGGAAGGACGTGATGCAAGTATGTGCTAATCCGCAGTAGTAATCAGCCGTGGCGTTGTAAGCTGCAGGAGACTCTACGCGGAATCTGCCATACATCTCAGAATGTTGGCCGCCACCTAAATGGTGCGTGAGCATGTCTGCTGCGAGCCGTGTGGTAACCTGGGAATCTGGGGCGTTGTTGAACACATAGATCCAGATATTCGACCACCGGTCGAAGTGGAAATTGAAATCGGGAGCCTCTTGCCAGATACAGGGCCTGACTTTTTTCGGTGTCGGTCCTTCACCACTGGCGACAGGTCCCAACAAATCTTCGACCATGCTCCTCAACTCCCCTAAACCACACGGTGCCACGATGGACAGAGCGCCGTTGTCGGGTCTGTAGAATTCCTTGCGAAAGCGATTCACCGCATCGCTTGTCAGCTTTCGCACACTTGCCAAACGCTTGTCATGGCCGGAACGCCAGTTCGGGTCGCCAAATATTCGATCACTCAGCTTCCAGTACGCGGCAGTCCGTTCAAATAGAGTGTCCGGCTGATGATCGACCATCTCCTGATGAATGATCTCTCTCTCGTGCTGACAAGCATCTGAGTCGATTTCACGGAACTCCAGGATGCTTGCCAGCAGGCGCAAGCCATCCGAAAGAAAATCTTTGTGGCCACTCACATAGAAGGCCGTCCTTTGCGATGTTGTATATGCATTTACTGCAACAGACTGTTGGGTGAGTTTTCGAGAAAGCTCCCGAGTTGTTCCCGTGAAACACAGATGTTCTGTTAAATGTGCGAGGCCCATCGATTTGGGCGGATCGTCTTGCGAACCCACGAGAAAGTTAAGGCTGGCGGTGAAGCCTTTTCCAAAGGGCCGTTCAACCAACACGACCTTGAGGCCGTTTGGAAGTACGATAGTCTGCTGCTCTTTCGGAGTTGCCATACGGAGGATTCTTTTGATCTCAACGAAGAGGATTCGCGGGATATTTAATACCTAAACTGCATTTGCAATTCACCCACGCATAGCTCAGCAATGAAGTGATATTTCTGCGAAGAATAGCACACATGTCACAATACTCCCACAACCTCGCTGAAGCGATCATTCTCGCACTTGAGAACGTGCCTTCCGCGCAGCCTGCGCAGGTGGCTGGGTATTGGGCGAACCGGGCATTCTTCCTGCAAGAGTTCGGCCACTATCTGCAAGTAGCCAACGGCTACGATGAACGAGTCAAGCGAATGCGTGCCGCCTATGAACGGTACGTGCAAGAACACGGCGGACCATACAATGTGGATGAGTTCGGAACACCTATGCAGCAGATCGTGAAGACAAGTTCGGCCGCGGAGCGGAGAAAGATGGGAAGCGAAGTCCGCACCGCGTTGAAGCAGCTAGCCGAACGCGCCCTTAACTTGAAGATTGCGACCATTGCAGAGTACGACGAGTTTCTGGCGAGATTGAAGATGGAGTGAGGAAGTTCTGTAACTGTTTGGGTGGCACCGGTTCTTGAACCGGTGCGGCGAAGCCGCAGGAGGGTGTGTTCGTTGGATGGACAGCTGTTTTCACTAAGCGAGTTGAGCAGGTCCTTTCTGGCAATGAGGTTTAATGTGTACGGGACTTGGCCAACAGAACCTCTAGCGGCTGCGCCGCACCGGATCGAGATCCGGTGGTACACTGTGGGGGTGCCAACTTGTAATTGATGAATGCTGATAACTCCCGTCATGCACACCCACCAGCCCGAAGAAGCGTTTCTTGAGATCGATGGCCTGCGGGTGTTCTTTCGGGCGGAGGGGGTTGGGCGGCCGGTGGTGTTGGTACATGGGTGGCCGACGCATTCGTTTCTGTGGCGACATGTGATTGCGGCGCTGCGGGAAACGCATCGCTGTTATGCGCTCGACTTGCCGGGCTTTGGGCGGTCGGAGAAGCCGGAGGACGCGCCGTATACGTTCACGTTCTTCAGTCGCATCATCGAGGGCTTCGTCGAGCAGCTTTCGCTGGAGCGTGTCGACCTGGTGGTGCACGACATTGGTGGACCCTCGGGCATTCTTTATGCGGACCGATGTCCCGAACGGGTCGGCAGGCTGGTGGTTCTGAATTCTCCGATCTACCCGATGCGAACACCGCTGGATGCTGTGGCGCATGTCGTTCTGCTCACACCGCTACTACGCAACGCGATGGTCTCGCCGTGGGGGCTGAAGCGAGTCTTCAAGTCGGGCGTAAGGCACAAGAGAAAGATGACGCCCGAGGTGATCGCCAAGTACCAGGCCCCGTTTCGCGATCCGGCGACACGTGGTGTACTGCGGAAAACGATTCTAGCCCCCATGACGTCGCCGAATGAATTGCCCGACCTATCGCAAACAATCGCGCGGTTAAGAATGCCCGTCTCTTTGGTGATTGCTCAACGGGATCTTCTGTGCGGAGCCCACATGCGGCGCTTGGCCGAAGAGCTGCCACAGCTTCCGGTGCACTCGCTCCCAGAGGCCGGCCACTACTTGCAGGAAGATATGCCCGAGGAGTTGGCCGCGATTGTGGCGAAGTGTTTGGAGTGAGTCACTTCATTGTCAGGCACAGGGGGGCCTGACCTACACGGACCTTCCGGCGACCTTCTACTGCAGTGTCCCTGCCGACACCCTGCGTGGTATGTTTTGGCTCAGGGCTGGGGGCGCCACCTGTTTTGGGTGGGGCTGGCCGGTGTAATCGGTACAAACGGCGCGGATAGCGTGGCAGGCTGATGATGGCGAATGCGAAGCGGCGACTGTTGGATGAGGTGCCGGTCTGGAGCATGGTGGTGCCGGTAGTGGCCTGCGGGGCTCTGGCGTTGGTGTGGGGAGGCTCCTCGAGTTGGGTGCTGCTGCTGGTGGCGGCTGCGGCGATCGTCGCGGCGGTGCTGGTTGCGGTCTACCATGCGGAAGTGATTGCCCACCGCGTTGGTGAACCTTTTGGCACGCTGGTGCTGGCCCTGGCCGTCACGCTCATCGAAGTGTCGCTCATCGTGTCGATGATGATGTCGGACCATGTCGATTCGAGCAACCTTGCCCGCGATGCGGTGTTCGCCACGGTGATGATCGTCTGCAATGGCGTCATCGGTCTGTGCCTGTTGGTGGGGGCGCTCAAGCATCACGAGTTGAGCTTTCGGGTCGAGGGGACCACGCCGTCGCTGTCGGTGTTGGCCACGCTGGCGACGATGTCGCTGGTGCTGCCCGACTTCACCTTCTCCACGGAAGGGCCGACGTTTTCTAGGTCGCAGCTTGTCTTCGCGGGCGTCGTGTCGCTGGTGCTGTACGGCGTGTTTCTGTTCGTGCAGACCATTCGCCACCGCGAGTTCTTCCTGGCGGACTCACATGACAAACATGACGACCACGGCGAGCCGCCCACGGTTCGGGCCGCGTGGGCTTCGCTGATTTTGCTGATGGTCTCGTTGGTCGCCGTGGTCGGGTTGGCCGAATCGATGGCCCCGGCGATTGAAAGCGCCATCGACGATGCGGGCATGCCTCAAGCCGTGGTCGGTATCGCCATCGCCTTGCTCGTGCTGCTGCCAGAAACCACGGCCGCCGTGCGGGCTGCCCGGGCGAACCGGATGCAGACCAGTTTCAATCTCGCCCTGGGTTCCGCCCTGGCCACCATCGGGCTCACCATCCCGGCGATCGCCTTCATGTCCATCGCCCTGGGCCTCTCAATCAACCTCGGCCTACCGCCCAAGGAAATCACACTGTTCGTCCTCACCCTGTTGTTGAGTTCGATGACGCTCTCTAACGGCAGGGCTACGATTTTGCAGGGCACGGTGCATCTGGTGGTGTTCGCGGTGTTTATCTTCATGGCGATGGTGCCGTGAGGTGTAACCGTTGGGTGGCACAACGCGAAAATTGTCGAAGCCGATTTTTTTCCCAAGAATCTATCATTCCAGGCGAAGGGGTAATCTGACCGACCAGTTATACTTCGGGGTGCATTTTCCGGGAGAGTAATATGTGGGGTTGGAAAACCGTAGAGCGTCTAATTGAGCCGAGCGTTTCGCTGGAAGAGGGAATCGGCATCCTTCAACAGAATGGGTTTCGGCTGCATGTGTCGAACCCTTCGCACTGTATATTGAAGAGCCCGGGCACGGAAAATCCTTGGACAACTTTGGCGCCTCAAGGTCACGACGTGCCGATTGAAGTCGCCCTTGCCGAAACGGCCAATGGTCTCTATCTACAACTCCGCTACGAGACATTCTGTCTTTTCGATACCGGGGACCTGGCACGATTCGGCGACGAACTCGCTTCGCTTTTGGTGCCGGAGCAGGTGTCTGAAGCAGATTAGAAAATCCACTCAATAGAAAAAGACCTTGAGTCTAATCCTACTCCACTGGGTGGCACCGGTTTTTAAACCGGTGTGGCGAAGCCACGAGAGGTGATGCGAAGTGTTCGCTGTGCGATATCGGTCTCTTAACTAACTCGCGATCGTAGAGCCAACGTGTGATCCTTGTTGCCACATCAGGTCGAGCGTTCCACGAAGCGTTGTTCTTTTCCCGACTTCAAATGAATAGCGTTTGTGGTAGATGAAAGTGTGGCTGAGGACCTCTTGCGGCTGCGCCGCACCGGATCAAGATCCGGTGGCACCCTAGGTGAACGATCAACAACCCTCTGCTATTCCGCCATCGACTTGGCTGATAACCAAGCGGTACTAAACGCGGCTTGGAAGTTGTAGCCGCCGATGAAGCCGTCGAAGTCGAGGATCTCGCCGGCTAGGTAGAGATTGGGGACGAGCTTGCTTTGCATGGTGCGGGAGTCGACTTCGTTGAGGGCCACGCCGCCGGCGGTTACTTCGGCTTTGGGGAAGCCGCGGCTGCCGGTCACCTTCATCTCCAGGGCTTTGGCCGCCGAGATCAGGGCGGGGCGTTCTTTCTTCGAGAGTTCGGCGAAGCGGCGTTCGTACGGGACTTCGGCCTGGGTGAAGATGGCCTCGGCCACGCGGCGGGGAAAGTAGCCTTCGAAGATCGTCATCACCCGTCGGCTGCCTTCGCTGGTGCTGGCGGTTCGCAAACGTTCGTCGAGTTCGTTGGCCGAAACGTCGGGCAAGCAATCGACGTGAAGTCGCAACCTTCGCGGGTCTTTCGCACCTGTGACCGCGCGACTCACATCGAGCGCGGCGGGGCCGGAGAGACCGAAGTGCGTGAACAGCAGCGCGGTGCGGCGCTCGATTAATACGCCGGGGGCCAGCCCTCGACGTCGCGCGCGGGAGGGCTTTTCGGTCTTCGCCAACTCGGGGTCGACCACGCGAACCAGCACGTCGGGCAGCGCGATGCCGGTTAGCTCGCGTACCCAAACTTCATCGGAAGTGAGCGGAACGAGTGCCGGGCGGGGTGGGCGAATGGTGTGACCGAGGGCCGCCAGCCAGGCGTAGCCGTCGCCCGTGGTGCCGCAGCCGGGATAGCTTTTGCCGCCGGTGGTGATGAGCAGCTTGTCGCAAGTTAGTGTTCGCTTCGAAGTGACAAGGCGGAAGCCCTCGCCGGCGCGAGCAATTTCTGCGACCGGTTCATCGAGGGCCATCGTCGCACCGCTGCGATTCAAGCGGGCCACCAACGCCCGGGCCACATCGAGTGCCCGTTCGCTGACCGGGAACACCTTGCCGGTTCCTTCTTCGACGTAGGTGCGCACGCCCTCGGCCTCGAACAGTTTGACCACTTCGCGCGGGCCCAATGCGGCGAGGGGTGAGTGGAGGAACTTGCCGGCTGAACCGAAGGCGGCGATGATGCCGCGCTCGTCGCAGTCGTGCGTGATGTTGCAGCGGGTTCCGCCAGAGATGAGGATCTTCACGCCCGGCTTGCGGTTCTTCTCCAGCAGCAAGGCCTGCCGCCCGAGTTCACCCAACCGCAATGTGGCCATGAGCCCCGCGGCCCCCGCCCCGACGACGATGGCTTCGTAATGCTCGTCGGTGGTCGAATCGTCGGGTGTCATACTTCGTAAACACGGTGTGAAGAGAACAAGTGGCTGATTGCTTCGGGTAGTGCAGAGGTGCAACGAGTGGGGCAATCGGCCGCCAATTCAGCACTGCTGGACAAGCCAGCAGTGGCACCCCAAACACTCGATATCTCGTGAAGGTGAAGACGATATTCTACAAAGCGGTGCCTGCTTGACGACGGGCTGCCTGGGCTGACATTCTCACGGGTTGACGGTCGGTCTATAATGCAGGTGCAATTCAACCCCCGCCCCGCGCCGCGTTGATGGGCTTGGTTACGGCGCATGGTTCTATGCAAACGGGAAAACTGCGGCGGCAAATCGCGTGGGAAGCCGCGCGAATGATGTACCTGCGGCAAGAGTCGGAATACTATCGGGCCAAAATGAAGGCCGCCCGACGGCTGCATCGCGGCTGGGTGAAACCACGAGACCTGCCCAGCAACGCCGAAATTCGGGACGAGATTCAGGCGTTCGCTCGCATTCACGAAGGCGACAATCGCACGGCGAACTTGCGCGAGATGCGGTTCGAAGCGTTGCGGTTGATGCGACTGCTCGATGCCTTCAAGCCGCGGCTGATCGGCAGCACGATGACCGGCCATGTGCGGCGGGGCTCGGACATCGACATTCACGTCTTCACCCACAGCCTGGAAGCCGTGACCGGCGCGCTCGACCACGACGGGCTGATCTACGACGTCGAACGGAAGCAGGTTCGCAAGCAAGGTGTGGAGACGACCTTCACGCACATTCACGTGCACGACCGGTTTCCCATCGAGCTGACGGTGTATGCGGCCGACATGGCGCACTACGTGTTCAAGAGTTCGATCACCGGGAAGCCAATCGAACGGGCCAGCATCCGCGAGTTGGAGGCCTTCCTGCAGAGCGAGTACCCCGACGTGGAACTGGAAGAGAAGGTGGAAGCCATCAATCAGTCGATCGATCGATTTCAGATTTACGAGATGCTGCTGCTGCCGCTGGAACGGGTGAAGCAATCACCCAAGTGGCATCCCGAGGGCGACGCACTGTATCACAGCTTGCAGGTGTTCGACCTGGCTTGCGACGAGTTGCCCTACGACGAGGAGTTTCTGTTAGCGGCCTTGTTGCACGATGTGGGTAAGGCGATCGACCCTTACGATCACGTGGCCGCCGGGTTGGAAGCCCTTGGTGAATCGATTACCGAGAGAACCGCGTGGTTGATTGAGCACCACATGACCGCCGGAGAGTTGCTCGATGGCAACGCGGGTGCCCGCGCCCGACGACGATTGGCGGCCTCGGAAGATTTCGACGAGCTGATGTTGTTGGCCCAATGCGACCGCGCCGGTCGAGTAGCGGGAGCCGATGCCCCGGAGCTTGAAGAGGCGATTGATTATCTGCGCGAGCTTTCGCACACGTGCGGGGAGTATTGATCGCGGGTGGTGGCCCGAGGGTCTTTAGAGAGCGGCGATCTGGCCGACGGAAGAAATCTCTGTAGCGTCCGAGGGTTAATTAACCACGACGGCACTACGGCACGACGTGTTGTGGGATTGAATCGACGCAGCTAGGAAGTCGATTGTGGGTTGAACGGTTTTTAAGAGAGATGGGCGAGAGGTTACTTACCCGAAGATGCGATCTCGTTTGGCTTTGTTGTAGGCCAGCTTTTCGGCGACGGTCATGTTGGTGAAGTCGGGTTGACCGTTGGTGGATGGCTTGCCGGGTGCTGCACTCTTCGGGGAATCGCACTTGCAGGAGGTGGCTTCGGAACCGCCGCAGCCGCAGCTGCTGGAAGATGAGCTTCCGGCGGGAATGGAGGCCGGCACGCTGGAAGAGGAAATGCTGTAGCCCATCACGTTGGTTTGCAGTTGCAGGTCGTCGTCGAGCGAACGCTTGGGGCGGATGTTCAGGCGTTGCAGTACGCCGTGGTAGGCTCGCACGGCTTCCTCGGGTGAGATGACTCCGTCGGTGATGAGGCGGAGAAACTCGACGAAGGCGAATTGGTTTTCGGCGTTGTTGATCTTGCGGCCGAACAGGGCCACGCGGGCCCCATAGCGTTGGGCCTCGGAGATCAGCTTGAAGGCATCGTACGTGGTGCCAGCCCCGCCGCCGAGAATGCCGACGATGAGGTGCGGGTCGTACGCCACCAGGTCTTCCATCGCCTTGGGCCCGTGATAGACGACCTTGAGGAACGTGGGGCGACCGGCATCCGTCACACCGGCCAGCGTGCGGGCGATGCAGTCGTTCACAAAGTCGGGAATCTGCTCGGCCGAAAGACCTTGCGGGGCATTGGGGTCGAACACTTCGAGGAAGTGGCGGAACCCGCGCCGTTCGGCCTCCAGGCGGAACTGCTTGTAGTTCTCCAACGACTTCAGGTCGGCTTCCAGACGGTTGTTGAACGTAATGCTGTACAGGCCCAGGTTCGCACCGCGGGTGCGCTCAGCGGGTTGGCATTCAACCTGGCCGCATTGGATGTGGTCGATGGTGGCCGAGCGAAACGGAACCGAAGGGGTTTCGCTGTAGTTCGCACCGCGGAGGACGAAGATCTCGCTGGTGTCGTTCGCCCGCGCTGCCGGGGTGACGTGGCTGTGTTCGAACAGGCCTTCTTGAATGGTCAGCCTGTCGTTGGTGCTGGCCGACATGAGCATGATATCGACCACGCCCTGCCGGGTGATCTCGCGAATCTGTTCGCGGTACTCGGCCAACGTGCGGGTGCGAACTTCGCCCGCGTGCATCTCGGGCGATTGCCCGGGAGCGCCGATTCCGAACGCCATGTCGGCATCTTTGGCATCGGCAATGATGAAGTCCTTCGCGCCCGAGGGATCGGCGTGGATGTTAGCCAGTTTGCGATCGAGCGATTTTTCCATACGACGTTTTCCTGAGGCGGTGGGGCCGCCGTGGGAGGATTATTCTTTGAACTAACTTTCAGAGTTCAGGGTGCCACGGTTGGCTTGTCCAACCGTGAGTTCGGCACTGCTGGACGAGTTCGCCGTGGTGCCCTTCCGATCAGACGCCATCGTGAAAGTTGTACTTGGCTGGTGGGTTATTCTTTTGCTCAAGGCATCTTGTCGACTTCGTCGACCCAGCTTCGAGAAGCTGGGCCACCCGGGTGTGGAGCATTCACGTGTGAGTTGTTTAGCGCACGGCTCCGATGCGATTGAGGACGTTGTCGACGGTGCCGCGGAGGACTTGGCCGCTTTGGCGGAGACCTTGCATTTCTTTGGGCCACAGCTCGAACTCGTGTACGGCCACAACGCCTTCGCGGCCGACGACGGTGGGCAGCGAGAGGGCCACGTCGCGAATGCCGTAGGCGCCTGACTGCACGCTGGAGACCGGCAGCAATTGTCGCAGGTCGCCTTCGATGGCGGCGATCACGTCGCGGATGGCCAGCCCCACGGCGAACCCGGCGCCACCCTTGCGGCTGATCACTTCGGCCCCGGAGCCCTTCGTGCGGGTGAACAATTCGTTGGCCAGCGACGGAGTCCAGGTCGGGTGCTTATCCAGCGGCATGCCGCCTACGGTGGCGCTCGACCAGATGGGCACCATGCTGTCGCCGTGTTCGCCGAGGATCAACGCGGAAAGTTGCGTGGGGGCGACGCTCAGTCGTTCGGCAATCAAGCTGCGGAAGCGAACGCTGTCGAGCACCGTGCCCAGCCCGATGACTTGGGGCTTGGGCAGGTCGAGCATGTCGGCCGCCAGGTAGGTGAGTACATCGACGGGGTTCGAAACCACAACGACGATCGCCCCCGGCTTGGGGCCGGCCGAGCGGATGTCGCGGAGGATGCCGACGAACAGATCGACGTTGCGATTGATCAAATCGAGTCGGCTTTCGTCCGGCTTGCGACGCAGGCCCGCGGTGATGCAGATCACGTCGCTGTCGGGGATGTGTTCGTAACCGCCGGAGGTGAAGACCTGATCGGCCGTGATACAGGTGCCGTGCAGCAGATCGAGGGCCTGGCCGGCGGCCATTTCGGCGTTGGCGTCGATCAGGGCAATGTGGTTTCCGATGCCTGCGGCTTGCAGGGCGAACGCGGTGCAGGAGCCCACGAGCCCGCCGCCGCCGATGATGCTGATTTTCATGATTGATTTCCTAAGGGTCGAGGTTTGGTTCGACTGAGCTTAGTTTTGTGGTGAACGTTTTGTTGGTCCGGCTTGGTTGTTCTTGGTGAGAACTTTTCGTCCGGCTGAGGTGTTCGCCGCTTCGGCACTGGCAAAGCCAGTGGCACACGGGAAGGGCCAACATCCTCTTATTGGTTTAACGGTTGTTCAGTGCGGCCAGCACGCGGTCGGTGATGGTTTGCACGAGGAGTTCCTGATCGCCACCGCGGGTGACTTCGGGGGCGGCCCCACCGGGCACCGAAGCGGCTTGCACGATATTGTTGCTGGCGGAATGATCGGGAGCCCTGAAGGCCGATTCAGAAACGCCGGTTTCGTGCCAGCTATTGCGGAACGTATCGTTGGCACACAGATCGCAATTCTCCATCTCCTTTTCGAGACGCGGATCGGCGAAGCCCAGGCGTTGCTTGAGGTCTAACAGCTCGCGGGTTTGTTGCGGGTCGAAGTAGTTAACTCGCCCCAGCCCACGGGCCATCAAGAGGATGTTGCAATAGGCGTCGAGGATCTCGGTCCACCAGTAGGCCCGTTCCAGCGTATCGCCGTAGCTGACGGTGCCGTGGTTGGCGAGGATGATCACATTCGACTTCTCGACAAACGGCAGCACCGTGTCGGCGAAGTGTTGCCCGCCCGGAGTTTCGTACTTGGTCATCGGTACTTCGCCGAGGAAGACTTCCACTTCCGGCAGAACGCACTGTGGGATCGGCTCGCGTGCCACGGCGAAGGCGGTGGCGTGTGGCGGATGGCAGTGCACGCAGGCTTTGATCTCGGGCCGCTTCTTCATGATGGCCAGGTGCAGCAGCACTTCGCTGGTTCGTTTGCGACGGCCGGAGAGCTGGTTGCCTTCCATGTCGACGGTGCACAAATCTTCGGGCTTCATGAAGCCTTTGCAGATCATCGTCGGCGTGCAGAGCACTTCGTTTTCGCTCAGGCGGTAGCTGATGTTGCCGTCGTTGGCGGCCGCGAAACCTTTGTTGTAAACGCGGCGGCCGATCTCGCACATTTCCTGTTTCAGGCGATGCAGGTTCATGATGGTCCTTTCGGATGTGTTGAAGTGGTTTGGTTAACGAGCGCTCGATGCGGTCGAGCCTCGCTTATTGGCTAAATCGATGTGATCTAAAATAGCGGCGTTGTAAGCGTCCACCGGTTTCATTTCTGGCTGGAAAGGCTGTGCGGCCTCTCCGCCTTGGCTTACGGCAATCAACGAACCGTTGCCTGCGGACAGGTCGTCGTAGACCACGATGGCTTCGGCCCGCTCGGTGGAGGTTCCTTCCAGGTTCTCGAGCGACAGCGGTACCACGAGGCGATAACGCCCGCTCTTCAGGTTCGGGTGGCTGCGGTTCAGGGTGACCGTTCCGATTACTTCGCCGATGAACATCCGCATCCTCCGCTGGCTGGGGCGTGGTTGGTCAATTCGGCGGGACAGTGTCCATTCGATGTGCGAACGAAGGCGGTGATCATCGACCGCAGGGCGTACATGCCGGTGCTCAGTGGTTCGATCATCAGCAGGTTGGCCCCCAGTGAGTCGACTACCGCAGACACGTCGGCCAGCGAACGTGCGACGGCGGCCCGAATGCGAGCGTCGCGGTTGGCCATGCAGGCGGCCATAGCAGGTTTGTCGGTGAGCAGCACCCCCAGGCGATTGCCCTGGCAGACGACATCCGACACCTGACTTACGGCGGCGGTCAGGTTGGTGGATTCGATTTGTTCGATGGTGGTTCCGGTGTCTTCCATCGCTTTGATCAGGCTGGCTGCATTGAACGTGGTGCCGGCGGTAGCGACGACCAGCGAGGTGGACGCCGGGGCCGAGGTGGTGTGACCGTCTGAGTGCCGCAGCGTGACGTTGTGTTGTTTCAATTCATCGCGAACCGCCGGGGTGACAACCGCACCGACGGGAACGGTTAGTGTTTGGGCTCCGTGGAGACGTCCTTCGACGTCTGCCAAGGTGATGACCCGTTGCGACAAGTTTAGGTTGCCGGGGGCCTGTGGGACCGCTAGCGATGTGGGTTGGGAAGCCACAGTCACGGGCGAACTGAGCGGGCGATCGGACATCAGCCGCCGCAACACTTCGCGCACCACCAGATCGACATCGACGGTCGATGCCGAGGCGAGGGTCTGCGAGTTGTGTTCGGTGGTGGTCACTATCAAACTCTTATGCGTGGTCTCTCATGCGTGGTGGGTGCCACTGCTGGCTTGTCCAGCAGTGCTGAACTCCCGGCACGGTTGGACGAGCCAACCGTGGCACCCTCTTGCAATGTCTTCTCTCTTCAAACTATGTCTTCGCTTACTCGTCTCGTATTCCCATCACGCTCCAGCGGACGGGCGTGTTGTCGTCGCCGATCATCGTGCGGGTGCCTTTGCCGTCGCTGGTGAGCATGACGATGTCGTTGCGGGCGGCGCCCAGGTTGTCGATGGCGAGTTGTGGTGTTCCGTCGGACCGGCTTGCGTCGGCCATCAGCAACTGCACGATCACGAGTCGCCAACCATCGAGCGATCGATGCTTGACCGTCGAGGTTGCCGTTCCGACGACGCGACCAAGTTGCATGGGTGTGGTTCTGTACTGCTTAGGTGTAAGTCTTGGAAACGTCTTGCTTGTCGGGTGCCACGGTTGGTTTACTTGCCGAGGATTCGCAGGTCGTCGATCAGCGAGCAGCGGCGTTCGCGGGTAAATGTGAGCGGGGTCGTTACGCCTTCGCCGGTGGGGGTGGCGATGGAGAACGAGATGTAACCTTCGCCGCCCAGACCTAGCGAAGCCATGCTGGGGCCGTTCTTGACGAACAGTGTGGTGTCCATCGTGCGGCCCATCTTGGTCATGTTCCGAACGTTGTTCGAATGGATGAGGCTGGTGTGGCGGAAGCCGTGTTCGAAGTGATGTGCCTTGGCGATCGCTTCGTCGACGTTCTTGCAACGCACCACCGGGACGAAGGGCATCATCTGCTCGACCGGCACGAAGGGATTCGTCTCGGGTGTTTCGCCGAACAGCAGTTCGGTTTGCGGCGCCACGTTTTTGCCGATCGCGCGGGCCAGCACGGTGGCGTCTTGCCCCAACAGATCTTTGGAGGCCACATCGTGACGATGCTCGCCTTCGCCCACTTGGGTGATGGCCACCGCAGTGAGGGCATCGACTTCCGCGGCGTTCAGCCGTGCGGCGCCGGCACGTTCCATGGCGGTCATGAACTCTTCGAACACACTGCCGACGACGAAGACTTCCTTCTCGGCAATGCACAGCAGGTTGTTGTCGTACGAGGCGCCTTGAATGATTGACTCGGCGGCTCGCTTGAGGTCGGCCGTTTCGTCGACCACCACGGGCGGATTGCCGGGCCCGGCGACGATGGCCCGTTTGCCGCACTGCATGGCGGCCCGCGCGACGACCGGTCCGCCGGTGACGCAGATGAGTGCGACACCACGGTGGTTGAAGATTTGTTCGGCCGATTCGAGCGTGGGTTCGGAAATCACACAGATGAGGTTGTCGATTCCCAGGTCGGCATAGATGGCTTGATTGAAGCGGCGTACGCCTTCGGCGGCCACGCGTTTGCCGGAGGGGTGCGGGTTCACCACCAGCGTGTTACCGCCGGCGATCATGCTCACGGCGTTGCCCGTGATGGTGGGCAGGCTGTGCGTGACGGGGGTGATGGCCCCGATGACACCGAAGGGGGCGTGTTCGATCACGGCCAGACCATGATCGCCGCTGAACACTTCGCTCCGCATGAACTCGACGCCGGGCGTTTTCTTGCCGAGCGTTTCGAGCTTTTCGATCTTGTGTTCCAGGCGACCGATCTTGGTCTCTTCCATTTCCATCGTGCCCAGCTCGACGCGTTGGTCGATGGAGATGCGACGGATGTGATCGATGATTCGTCGGCGGTCGTCCATGGTCCGCTCGGACAAACGCTCGAAAGCTTCGCGAGCGGCCGTGACCGCTTCGTCGACGCAATCGAAGACGCCGTGACGACCTTGAAAGCCACGACCCATGGGGGTGGCCGGAGTCGTCTTCATTTGGGACAGCACTTCCTGGACGACACTGCGAATCAACGTTTCGGTGGTTTGCATGATCGTTCGGTCTGTTTCTTGGTAAAAGGTTGTTTCGTATTGGTTCGTTGAGACCACGACTCAGGTCGGGGTATCGTGTTCAGTCGGTTTCGTTTTCGTCACGGTCGTAAACGCAGGCCGATTCGACATGCACGGCATCGACGATGCCGATGATGGCCGCGTCGACCGGTAGTGATTTAGTTTCGTCGGTCAGGCGGGCGCTGGATCCTTGCACGATAAGCACGTACTCGCCCACGCCCGAGCCGACGGTGTCGACAGCGACAAAGGTGCGGCCGGTGCTCTTTAGCCGGGAGCGATCGTCTTCGTCCACCTTATAGGGTTCGACGATGAGCAGCTTTTGGCCGACCATGTTCGACACCTTTTGGGTGGCGACGACGTGTCCGGTTACCTTGGCGACAAACATGGCGTTTAGTTCTCCAGCACCGCTTTAACTTGTCGTGCGACAATCAGCTCTTCGTTGGTGGGCACCACCCACAGTTGCGTGCGACTTCCGGTGGCGTCGATGCGTGCTTCGTCTTTGACCTGGGTGTTGGCCAACTGGTCGAGCACGATGCCCAGGTCTTCCAGCCCCTGACACACGCGGGAACGAATCGCCGCGCCGTGTTCGCCGATTCCACCGGTGAACACGATCGCATCGGCCCCGCCCAACTCGACCAGGTAAGCACCCAGGTATTCCCGCACGGCCCCGACGAACACGTCGATGGCCATTTGCGCCCGGTCGCTTCCCTCTTCGGCAGCCGCTTCTAAATCTCGAACGTCGCCACTCACCCCGCTGAGGCCCAGCAGTCCGCTTCGTTCGGCCAGTTCATCGAGCAATTCGTCTAACGACTTGCCCGTCTTTTCCATCAGCACGGGCAAGGCGAACACATCGAAGTTGCCAACCCGATTGTTGTGTGGCAGCCCAGTTTGAGGACTCATTCCCATGCTGGTGGCCACACTCTTTCCATCGCGGATGGCACACAGTGATGCCGATCCGCCCAAGTGACACGAGATGATCCGCGCGTCGCTGCGACCGAGCAGTTCGGCCGTACGTTCGGCGATGTAGCGATGGCTGGCACCGTGGAAACCCCAGCGGAGCACATCGTGCTCGGTGGCCCATTCATAGGGCACCGCGTAGTAACGGTTGCGATCGGGGATGGTCGCGTGAAAGCCGGTTTCGAATGCGGCAATCAGCGGGATCTCCGGCACCCGTTCGCTTAGCAATCGCATCGCCTTCACATACGGAGGGTTGTGAGCCGGGGCCACGCGGGCCATCGACTCCATGGCGGTGAGCACCTCGGGGGTGACCAGTTGGGTTCCGCTGGTCGAGCCGGCATGTACGGCTTTGAAGCCGATGGCCGACACCTCCGAGACATCCGACAAGCAACCGTGTTCCGCATCGGTCAACTGCTCGAGACACAAACGTACGGCCACCGCATGGTCGGGCACCGGCACGACGCTTTCGTGCCGATGGTCGCCAATTTCGACGAACTGACTGCTTTGCTCGGCGCCTATCCGTTCCGTGCCTCCGCGCGCCAGTTGGCGCTCGTCTTCCATGTCGAACAAGCGGTACTTGAAGCTCGTCGATCCTAAGTTGGCAACCAGGACCTTCATCGGCGTTTCTCCTCGGCCGAATGGTGTTACGTACGATTGTGAAACTTGGAGCCAACCTTAGCCCAAGTACGCGGCAATCAATCCGTCGGAGGGTCGCGGAATGACGTGGCTGGCAACCAGGTCGCCAATTTGCGAGGCGGTTGCAGCACCGGCTTCGACGGCCGCACGAACACTGCCCACGTCGCCGCGGACGATGGTCGTTACGTAGGCACCACCGATTTGGATTTGCTTCACGATCTCGACGTTGGCGGCTTTGGCCATGGTGTCGGTCGCTTCGATGAGGGCGACGAGGCCCTTGGTTTCAACGAGTCCAATGGCGTCTTGCATTGAAAGGGGTTCCTATATCAAGGAGTTGTTTGTTGGAAACTACGACTTGGAGCGGCTAGGGGCGGCCTTGGTTAGTTGGGCCGGCAGAATGCTTTGCAGGTCTTCGTGCGGTCGAGGAATGACTTGCACGGCGAGGATTTCGCCAATGCGTCCGCCCGCGGCTGCGCCTGCGTCGGTGGCAGCCTTCACTGCAGCGACGTCGCCTGTGACAAATGCCGTGACCAGTCCGCTTCCGATCTTGCTCCAGCCGAGGTACTCAACATTGGCGGCTTTGATCATCGCGTCGCTGGCCTCGATGAGCGTGATCAGGCCCTTGGCCTCGATCATTCCCAACGCTTCCATCGTTTTCGCCATCTCTTCATCTCCCAAAACATTAAGGAAAGGGTTATTGCTTAATCAGTTCCACATGCGTGGCATGGTCCAGGTCGCTGGCGTTGCCTTCGTCGGTATCGAGATGCACTTCAAGCTTGCTCGTCTCGTCGGCTCGAACCAACAGGTCTTCCAGCACGAGACCGCAGGAGGATTGAATCCGGAGACTCATGCGGTCGCCGTTCTTCACTTTGTAGTAGGCGGCGTGTTCGAGGTTCATATGCACATGCCGTTCGGCGCGAATCACGCCTTGGGTCAACTCGACCACGCCCTTGGGGCCCACCAGCACGCAGCCGGGGGTGCCGTCGATTTTGCCGCTGGCCCGCACAGGCAAGTCGATTCCCAATGAGATTCCGTCGGTGAAGGCCAGTTCCACCTGGCTGTGTGGTCGCGTGGGTCCCAGCACGCGAACGGCCGGCAACATGCGTTTGCGGGGGCCGACCACCATCACGGTTTCTTCGGCCGCGTAGAAGCCCTCTTGGTACAGGGGCTTCATCGGCGTGAGGGTATGCCCGGGGCCGAAGAGGGTTTCGACATGCTCGTCGGTGAGATGCACGTGACGGGCCGAAACGCTAACAGCCAACTCGGGTGCGCCGCGGGGCACGGCGGCTTGTTGGATAACGATTTCGCGAACGATTCTTTCGATCGTCGCCCGGTCGAGGGTAGTCGCTGTGCTCATAGATTTATAGACGCCGGGGGCGTGGTCGCTATCGGGTGAAGACTTGCGGTCGTTTGTGTCGATCAACGTTTCCGAGCAAGGGTTGAGTTCAACCGTTGTCGGTCGGTCCGGCGATCTTTAGTTCGACGCCGGCCGCGGTAATCTTGCTTCGCCAGTCTTCCGTGACGTCGTTGTCGACCACCATGCGGTCGACGTCTCCCAGCTCACACAAAGGGCACAGGCTGCGGCGGCCAAACTTCGAACTATCGACCACCACGATCACCTCATCGGCGGCTCGCATCATGGCCTGTTCGGTTTGCACCAGCAGCAGGTTGCTGTTGTAAAACCCTTCGTCGGTGAGCCCGCCCACGCTGAGGACAGTTCGCTGAACCCCCAACGAGCTAAGCATCTCGTCGGCATACGGTCCCAGCGTGACGCCGGTGCGTGGGTAAACAAATCCTCCGATGAAGACCAAGTCTGTCGTCGCACTTGCGGCGAAGAGGTTGGCCACCGGGAGGCTGTTGGTCACCACTTGAAGCGGCCGCCCCACCAAGAGCCGGGCCACTTCGTAGGTTGTTGTGCCGCCGTCGAGCAGCACGGTATCGCCATCTTCAATCAACTCCGCGGCAGCGAGGGCGATGAGCCGCTTCTTGTCCCATTGCTCGGGTTCTTGCTCTTCGAAGTGCGGCAGCTTGGGGGCATCGCCGGCGTAGAACACGCCGCCGTGCGTGCGTTTGGCCGTTCCGCCTTCTTCCAGCACGTCGAGATCCCGACGGATGGTGGCCTTGGAAACCTGCATTTCGTCTGCAAGTTCGGGCAACGACGCGAACCCACGGGCTCGCACCAGTTCCAAAAGTCGGGTTCTACGCTCCTCTGCCAGCACCGCACCGCCCTGTGCATCAAGAGAATGGGGTCACATTCTGATGATTATCACGAGGAAATAAGCAAATATCAAGCATAAAACATCACAAGAATAGTCGTTTTGTGAGCGAATTCAAACAAATACGCTCAAAATTAATCAAGTCCTCATGATTCTCTCATGGGGGGCTGGGTTGAAGCCCTGGGGGGTGTGCTGCAACGGAACCGCTCCGGACCATGCGAGAAGCCTATCTCATGAATCACAGCCGGGAGGGTGGCGGGACCGCAGATGGGTGCACTTCTCTAGCGCGGGTGGAATGGCCGGCCACGCTGCCTGAGTGATTCCAGCAGTGGATTGGCGGGAAAATGACGGTTGCAAAGCCCGCTAGTTGATGAACTTCGCGTTGGCTCCGGATCGGCAGAGCCAGTACAATCGGAAGCAGCATGTGGGGTGCTTTTTGTTCTGCGCGAGCCCCTGCGTAATTTGCTGCTGCTTCCCACCTTCCTGCACTCCTGTTTCTCTGCTTCGACAGGATCATCTTGTCGGCCGAGTTGAGTCATTCAAACCGAGGGTCCATCATGAGCCAATCCGATCGTCACACGACTTCACGCCGCGACTTCCTGAACACCACGGGTAAAGTGGCTGCGGCATCGACCATTCTTGCCGCCTCGGCCAAGTCTGTGCATGCCGGCGAAGACAACACCATTCAAGTCGCGCTGGTTGGTTGTGGTGGACGTGGTAGTGGAGCGGCTTCGAACGCCCTTTCGGTCGAGAACGGACCGATCAAGTTGGTGGCGATGGCCGACGTGTTCCAAGATCGGCTCGATAGCTCGTTCGGTTCGCTTAGCTCGAAGTTCGCCGACAAGATGGACGTGCCTGAGGAGCGGAAGTTCATCGGGTTCGACGCTTATCAAAAAGCGATGGACTGTCTGAACCCGGGCGACGTGGTGATCTTTGCCACGCCGCCGGCGTTCCGTTGGGTGCACTTTCAATACGCCATCGATAAGGGTTTGAACGTCTTCATGGAGAAGCCGGTCACGGTCGATGGCCCGACTTCGCGCCGGATGTTCGAGCTGGGTGAAGCCTCGGTGGCCAAGAACCTGAAGGTGGGCGTGGGCCTGATGTGCCGTCACTGCGATGCTCGTAAGGAACTTTACGATCGCATTCAGAATGGCGAGATCGGCGATATTCTCGAACTGCGGGCCTACCGCGAAGCCGGCCCGACGGGCACGGCGGCCACGGGACCTCGGCCTGAGGGCGTCGATGAGTTGGAATACCAGATCCGCAACTTCCACGCATTCCTGTGGGCCAGCGGCGGTGCCTTCAGCGACTTCCTGATTCACAACATCGACGAATCTTGCTGGATGAAGAACGCCTGGCCGGTGAAAGCCGACGGTACCGGCGGACGTCATTACCGCGGGGATGACATCGATCAGAACTTCGATGCCTACTCGGTCGAGTACACGTTTGACGATGGTACGAAGCTGTTCTTGCGTGGTCGCACGATAGCTGGTTGCCACCAGGAGTTCGCCAGCTATGCCCACGGTACGAAGGGGGCGGGCGTGATTTCGACGGCGGCTCACACTCCGGCCAAGTGCCGCATTTACAACGGTCACAAGATGACCAAGAAGAATCTGGCCTGGGCCTTCCCGCAGCCGGAACCCAATCCTTATCAGCTGGAATGGGATCACCTGATCGACGCCATCCGCGAGGACAAGTCGTACAACGAGGTGAAGCGTGGCGTGGAGGCGAGCCTGGTCACGTCGATGGGCCGCATGGCTGCTCACACCGGTCAGATCATCACCTACGACGACATCCTCAACGGCGATCACGAGTTCGCCCCCGAGGTGGACAAGCTCACGCTAAATGGCCCCGCCCCGCTGCAACTGGCCGCCAACGGCAAGTACGCCATACCGCTGCCGGGTATTAACAGCACCCGCGAGTATTAATCGCGAGTGTGTAATTACCGAAATCGTCTATCCCTGGGTGGCCCCGCTTGTTGAAGCGGGGTCGCCGTGTGTGACAAGAACTTTCTCGGTGATGTTTGACTCTTCTGAGTCCTCTGTCTGATCGTGCGCGCGACGAGGTAAGCGCCTGCTGATTGGGAGGGTCTTGCTGAAAACCTCCGGCGGCTGCGCCGCAGGATGATCGAGAACCGGTGGTACCCAGTGATTTGGCACGACCTGTCTCGATTGACCGACATTCACTTCGGCGACGTGATCGGGAGAGGTTTTGGGTAGCTGATCGTGAACGTCTTCAAGCGAGATACTGCGACAAAATCAGCATCGCCAGCCGAGCACCGATGCTTCTCACGACTCTGACGAGAATCTACGGGCTTCTTCCATGAGATCCGCTACGCCAGCTGAGTCGTATTCGTATCCGATAAGTGCACCCTTAGAACACCACGCCCCTATTGCTGGGGTGCGCTCAGGTGATTCTATCTCTGCCAAGCACCCTGCGCCACTGGTAATTGTCACCAATGACTCACCAGTGCTTAGATTAGCCGCAGTGAAACGAAGCAGTTCATCATCTTCGGCAGTGCCCATAGCAAAATAAAGCGTCGTCGTCTTGGAACTCATTGCCGCAAGTTCTTCAACAGTTGCAGGAGTTGCACGTTCAATCATCATGACGTTCTCCTCTATTGCGTTCTCAGGAACCACAATTCTGTGAATCCTTCGAGACTTGCCGCCCCTCCAGACTGACCATCCGAAAACTGGATACTTCCTTTCTGATTCACTCCGTTGAAGAAATGCCCAATTTCGCCGGTTACTCGACTTCCAAATATTACCCCCCGCGAGGCAGGGTGAGATAGGGTCTGATCTAGCGTAGTGTGGTTGAAACCAACTTCGAAGCGACCACCAACAGCCCTCTGCACCGTTCGAGTGCTGGTCGCGCCAGTAATTCCTGCGACGTTCGCTTGTTGACCAGACAGTAGCCGATCTAATTGAATTGCGCAATCGGCGCAGTTCAAGCGTCCGTTGCCTTGGTTAATATCGCGTACCGTAAATCCGTGTGCATTAGCATGCGTCGGAGTCACTCTGCCAGCGCTTTTCAAAGAACCATTCGGCGTCGATGACCCTGCTATCCGCGGATTTGTGGGTAATTGAAAGGATCACGGAACGGACATGCCGGGGGAAACGTCCTCTTTTAGGGGCGATGTTTTGAGGGCCTCTGTCGACTGCGCCGCACCGAATCAAAATCGGGCGGCACCTATGAGTGCGATTGGGTATGGGCGCTGACAGACCCCGTAGCGCAAGTTGGATGAGCTGGGGTGGGTTAGCCGCTCAAGACTTTGTTGGCGGCTTCGGCTCCGTAGACGGGGAGGTTGTCGGCAGGGAGAAGGCCGATTTGCTTGAGGACGGAGGCCTGGTCCCAATAGATGTGCTCGTGGGCGAGTTTGTTGTCGCGGAAGTGGACGACGACCACGATGGCGATCTTCACCTTCTTGCCGGTGGGGGCAATGCCGGGCAGCATCCAGTCGATTTGCGTTGTGTGGGTGAACTCGCTGACGAGTTCGTCGACGAGTTGATCGTGCCCTACTGTGCGAGAGACTTGCACCGTTGTCATGTCGGGCGGCAGACAGTGCACGAAGTGTTGCCCGTAGAATCGGCGGAGTGCCTCGCGTCCGTGTCCGCCGGCCATGGTCGGGATGTGATTGACGTAGGCGTCGTCGACCATCGTCCCGACGGTGAGGTTCTCGTCGTTCGCTTCGAACTCGTAGGCGAGGTGCTTCTCCCACAGTTCGACTAACGCCTGCTGATGCGGGGTGAGTTCACTCATGGTGTTCTCCCGTTTGATCGCTCGGTGGGAACAGCTCGCTTCTGCCTGCGGACGAAGTCACTATAACGAGTTTGCGGAACCATGGCATGTGAATGGACACTGCCGGTGGCTTTTCGAGGGCGGGCCTTGGTGCAGAGACGACTAAGGCTTCTATAATCTCCAGCGTGTTCACTTCATGATTCATGCGGAATTTGCATCTTGAATTTCACTGCGAATGAGCGGGTTTGCCCTTTGTGTGGCTGTGCCGAGGGGGAGGAGTTTTTTCGCGATGCGCGGGAGTATTACCGTTGCCCAGAGTGTGGGTTGGTGTTTGTGCCGGAGCGGTGGTTCTTGAGTGAGGCGGAGGAGCGGGCGGTTTACGACATGCACCAGAACGGGCCGGAGGACGCGGGGTATCGGAAGTTCTTGGGTCGCTTGTTCGAGCCGGTGTGTGAACGGATTGCCGCGGGGAGCCGGGGGTTGGACTTTGGCTCGGGGCCGGGGCCGACGCTGTCGGTGATGTTCGCAGAGGCGAGGCATGCGGTGCGGATTTATGACCCGTTCTATGCGGACGATGCCTCGGTGTTCGACGCGCAGTTCGACTTCATCACGGCCTCGGAGGTGATTGAGCATTTGCGGCGACCGCGGGAGGAACTTCGTCGGCTGTGGAAATGCCTGAAGCCGGGCGGCTGGTTGGGCATCATGACCAAGCGGGTGATCGACCGGGAGGCGTTCGCCACCTGGCACTATAAGAGTGATCCCACGCATGTTTGTTTTTACTCGACCACTACGTTCGAGTGGCTGGCCGGGGAGTTGGAGGCCCGGTTGGAAGTGGTGGGGGATGATGTGGTGCTGTTGCAGAAGTTGGTGGAGAGCGAGTGAGGGCTGGGGTCACGTTCTGTGGCAAGCCCTACGGTGGGCACTGGGTGGTGCCGGTGGCACTCGGTTTTTCACCTCACTGTTACACTTTTATTGTCCATCTCCTGCTGCCGTGTAGCGGAGGTTGTTTAGGTAGACCTGCACGTGCCAGCCGCCGGATTGCATGTTGAAGAGGCCGAAGCGGTCGAACTTGGCTCCGGCTGCGCGGTCGCCGGCGGCGAGTGGGAGGGTGGCTTGCTGGTCGTCGAGCGTGACGGTGATTTCGCCCTGACCGTCGGCGGCGGTGGGGTCGTAACGGAGTGTCCACTTGTGTTCGGTCTTGTCCGGCGCGAGTAGTGGACCCGACTCGGCGTTGCTGCCGGCGGCGGTTTGGGTGCTGTAACCGGGACGGAAGTAATGGCCCACGCGGCTGGGGCCTTCGAGTAAGATGCCCAGGTAGTTCCGCTGCCGGGTTTCGTACTCGGGCTGCGACTTGTTCTGCTTCGTGTCGCTATCGAACCAGCCGAGGTACACCGCGCTATCGGGCCCCGAGGCGTCGAAGCGGATGGTGCCTTCGGCGTAGAGTTCGTCTTCGAGCGAGAGCGGGCCCACGCGGTCGGCGTAGTAGCTGGGCTGTTCGTCGCGCCAGATGGTGCCCCCGATCGATCCGGCGTGGGTGTCGCTGTCGGTGGGGGCGATGTAGCCGTAATCGTGATGCGGCCGCACGACGCGTTCGGTGAATTCGGCCCGATTGCCGGTGCCTTCCCACTGGGGATCGGCGTCGAAGGTGTACTCAGTGCCGTTGACGACGAGATCATCGAGCCAGAGTTCCATGCTGTCGCCGGTGGCCTCCTGGGTCCAGATGCCGAAGCGGTCAAACACGGCGCCGTCTGCCCGATCTTCTGGCCGGATGTCGACCTGGTACGAGCGGTCGTCGATTTGGAACGTGAGCAATCCGGCTCCGTTGTTGCCAGCTGGGTCGTATTCGAGCCGCCACGTGTGGGGCTTTCCGTCGACGGGGAAGGGCTTGGTGGGCGTGGTTTGGTAGCGTTCGCCCTCGAAGGCCCCCATCCCGCCGGTGCGTCCGCTGCGAGTGCCGTACTCGTAGAACAGCCAGAAGCTGTCGCCGTTTCCATCGGCCCGAAATGCTAGCGAGTTGGTGGTCCGCCAGCTTCGCGAAGTGTGGTGGAACCAGCCGATGAGCACCCCGGAGGCCCCGTGGTTGGCGGTGATGGCCAGCTTGCCGGTGGCCAGCAGATGGTCGTCGAGCGAGAGTTCCTCGGGCAAAACCACGGCGAACTTAGCCGGGGTGAGGGAACGTTGGACCCGACCACCGATCTCGCCGGGATTGGCTCCGCCGGCAAGATTCGTCGCACTGTAGCCGAAATCTTGCCGGGTGACGGGGCGATCTTCTGGCAGCAGGCGATTGCGAAAGCCGTCCCAACCGGGGTCGGTGCTGAGCGCCGGAGAACGTAACACCTGGGCGTTGGCGGCGGTGGACGCAAGCGCGAGCAGAAGGAACACCAGCCCCAGGGCGACTCGACGAGCGGGGGCCGCCTTGGCAATTGTTGACCGCGAGCTGGCACAATTCTGGGCGGGGCTTGCCGGCTTACATTTCATGGCGAATCATTCCATTGCATGTCGATGATATCGTAGTCAGCATACGGCGGCCGGTACATTATAGTGGAAGCGGCGGCCCGGGTGCCGGTGCCTAAGCATGGGCTGGTCTTTTGCTACTGGCCGCCCGGGTGGCCTGAGAGAAACCTGCTTATCTTCAACCGTTCAGGTAGTTGCTAGTGACGCCGCGTACCGCGATTAAATCCCGCCAGACGCTCGGAAAATACCGTATCGAAAAGAAGCTGGGCGAAGGGGGCTTCGCCACGGTCTATCGTGCGCTCGACACGCTCGAGGGCGTGCGGGTAGCGCTCAAGATTCCGCACGACTACCTGATTGATAATGACTCGCTGGAAGACATCCGGCACGAAGTCCGCCTGGCTGCCCGACTGCATCACCCGAACATCTTGCCGCTGAAGAACGCCGACTTCATCAATGGCCACCTGGTGTTGTGCTATCCGCTGGGCGAGCGCACCTTGGGCGAACGTTTGCAATCGCGGATCTCGTTTCGCACGGCGATGGACTACGCCGAGCAGATGCTCGAGGCCACCTCGCATGCTCACGAGCATCGGGTGATCCACTGCGACATCAAGCCCGACAACTTCATTCTGTTCCCCGACGACACGCTGATGCTGACCGACTTCGGCATTGCGAAGGTGGCCCAGCGAACGATTCAAGCCTCGGGCTCGGGCACGGTGGGCTACTGTGCTCCAGAGCAGGCGATGGGGAAGCCATCGTTTCGCTCGGATGTATTTTCACTGGGTCTGGTGCTGCACCGGATGTTCACCGGCGAGTTGCCTGAGTGGCCGTTCAAGTGGCCGCCGCCGGGGTATGCTCGGTTGCGAAAGCTTCACCCCGAGTTGGTGAACTTGATTCGCCGCTCGATTGAACTCGATCCGAAGAAACGATACGCCTCGGCTACGGCCATGTTGACGGCTTTGTTGCGAGTTCGACCTCGCGCGATGAGCCATGTGGGCGGGACAACTACTTCGCGCGCGAAACGTAAGACCAGTCAAGATTGGAAAACGATCCGTCACCGGCAATTCGAGCGGCAGTTTGGGAAACAACTGGCAACCCGTTATAAATGCCATCGGTGCGAGGGGCCCGTGTCGGAGGCGATGACGAGTTGCCCTTGGTGTGGGACCGACCGCAGTGTGCATCGCGATGGAACGACATTCCCGCTGCAGTGCCCCCGATGTTTTCGTGGGCTGAAATCAGACTGGGAGTATTGCCCGTGGTGTTTTGGCTACGGGTTCGAAGTGAGCGCGACGCGCGAGCTTTCGGATGTTCGCTACACGGCGCAGTGTTCGAACCCGGCGTGTGAACGGAAAGACTTGATGCCGTTCATGCGGTATTGCCCCTGGTGCCATCGTAAGGTGAAAAAGAAGTGGAAGATCGAGGGCAGCAAGGACTCGTGCGGTTCTTGTGGTTGGGGCGTGGTGCCGGAGTTTTGGAGCTATTGTCCGTGGTGCAGCAAGACCCTGAACTCGAAGTGACGCGATGAAGAAATCACGTCCGGCGGAGTTCGCGCAGCTTTACTTCGATCAAGACATGACCGAAGCCGAGTTGTTGCAAGTGGCCGACGGTTACGCGGCCGTGTTCTCTGCGCGCTGCCCGGGCAAAGAATCGCCCAACGAAGATTCGGCCGCGGTGATTCCCTTCGATGAACATTCGGCCGTGCTGGTGGTGGCCGACGGCCTCGGTGGCAACGCCGCGGGGGAGTTGGCCTCGCGGATGACAATCGAGGCCATCAGCGAGGCGATCAACGAAGCTCGTGATTCGGGCGTGATGCTGCGATCGGCCATCATCAATGGCATCGAGCAAGCCAACGCGGCGGTGCAAGCCTTGGGCACCGGCGCCGCTACCACGGTGGCCGCAGTTGAAGTGCTCGACGGCTTGGTGCGGCCCTATCACGTGGGCGACTCGTCGATTCTGATGTTCGGCGGGCGCGGCAAGATCAAGCTGCACACGGTCTCGCACTCGCCGGTGGGTTACGCCATCGAGGCCGGCGTGCTCGATGCTTCGGAGGCCTTGTACCACGAGGATCGGCATTTGGTGTCGAACGTAGTCGGCACGCCGGAGATGCACATTCAGGTGGGGCCGTCGATCGAGCTTTCGCAACGCGACACGGTGGTGGTTGCCACCGATGGGCTGTTCGACAATTTGCGGCTGGAAGAAATCGTGCAGCATCTCCGCAAAAGCCCGTTGCAGAAGACGACGCAGAAGCTGATCGAACACACCCGAGAGCGGATGGACGAGAGCGCGCCCGATCACCCCTCGAAGCCCGACGATCTCACGGCAATCACCTACCGCCGCTCGTCGCGCCGCGGCAAGAAAAAGTGACAGCAGTCAAGCAGCCGCACGCGAAGGCCGAACTTCCGTCCCATCGAGCGAAAAGCCCGGCAACCACACCCCCGCGGCGCGCCGTTGACCACCCATTCTCCCGACAGCTATATTAGCACCCTTGCGGGGCGTAGCTCAGCTTGGCTAGAGCGCTGCGTTCGGGACGCAGAGGTCGTAGGTTCAAATCCTATCGCCCCGACTTGACTGGACGAATTGCCCTTTGACGAGAATGTCGAAGGGCTTTCTTATTTCAGGGACTAGAGTTACGCCGTCGAGGGTCCAGTTCAAACAGACGATTTCCAGCAGCACACGTTTCTCGGCGATATCGGCTGCAAACCATTTCTCTGTCAGAGCTTGCGAAAGTTCAAACACTTTCACGGCTAGATCAGCTCCCTCGGATTGCTGACGCCCGACGCCTTCCAGCTTCGTCTGCAATTTCACTTCCTGATCTCTGAGCTCGGCTTGCTTCTCAGCGAACGTGTCAGCGTTGATCTCTTCAAGCAGACGCAAATTCAACAGACCGTCCTTTTGCTTCTTGAGCTTCGCCAGTTCGCGTTGCAGTCGAGCAAGTTCTTCGTCGCTGTGGCGTTGAGAAACCTTAGTCTTCGCCCGCAAGACCTGCCCGAACCAGTCTCGGACTTTCTCATCTTCAATCCGTATCGACTTCAACAGGCCGAGAACCTGCGACTCTAGCTCGGCTTCTTTCAGTCGGGTTCGAGGATGATCGCCTTTGTTGTACCTGGCACAGCGATAATAGCGGTACTCACTCACGCCCTTACGCGTCTTCTTGTGGCGGATCTCTGCGACGATCGGCTTTCCGCAATGACCGCACCGTATCATTCCCGCGCCGAACACCGCTTTGTGTGCCTGATATGTTTTCACACCCAAGAGAACCTGCACGCGTTCAAAGGTTTCTCGGTCCACTAGGGGGTCATGAGTTCCGGGATACCATTGCCCCCGATACTTCACCTCTCCGATATACGCACGATCCTGCAAGATGACATGTAGCTTGCTGCGAGCCATGCGATGCACGCCATCGAGGTATTCCCCGTCTGCCTCTAATTTCTGACTCAGACTATCGAGCGTATGCCCGTGATATGCGTACAGCTCAAACGCCTTACGCACTACGCGGGCTTCTCCCTCGTCTATCACAACCAGGCTTCGGCCATCCTGGCGTTCATTCCGGTAGCCGTAAGGGGCTTTCCCAACGAACAAGCCGTTTTCGACACGCCTTGCCAGCCCTTCCTTCACGTCCAGGCTTTGTTGCTCAGTGTAGAAGGTCGCCATATTGGCCAAGATGCGGCGTTGCATACGACCAGCTGGCGTATTCTCAGTGGGCTGTGCTACGTAGATAACCGGCACGCCGTGCTCATCTTCCAACCGCTCTAGCTCGACGTAATCGAACAGATTCCGCGCCGCTCGATCTACCTTATAGAACAACACTCCGTCGATTTGTTTGGAGTGCTCACGAGCATAGATCAACAATTCGCGGAATGCCTTACGCTCTTCTCGCTTGCTGGCTGTTTCGGCCAGACGCATGAGCTTGTAGATCTCTCCGCCGTTGCGTTCGGCGTATGCCTTCAATGCTGTTTCTTGGACCTCTAGCGAAAACCCTTCTCGCTCCTGCTCGCGGCTTGAAACTCTCGCTAGTGCCAGATATCGCTTCATGGTTCTTCGTCTCGCAGAGAATCTATCAGTCGACCAACGCTCAGCAGTATCTGTATCGCTTCGGCCTTCGTCAACTTTTCACCGTACAAAGGTTCCCACGCGGCTTGCGTGTGCTCGATTAGTTCATCGTCAATCCAATCGGGCACATCACTTAGACGTCGATTTTCGCCACTTTTTCCGAAGGAGATCATGCGGCCTCCTTCATCTTGTTACGCATCGCAGCATAGAGTTGCAGCCCCGCAACTTCATCAGCGTCAAATCCCGTCTCCCAGGCATCCTCGGGAGTAATACACAGATGCTCGCATGCTTCCAGGAATGGAACAGCGATGCTTGAATCGAACCTCGCACGCCCATCGACTATCGTGCCGTCTTCAAATTCAACGCGGGGGACACGAACTATCGTGCAGGCATTACCGCACTCGCCGATGCGTTCACGGATTGTCTTTAGCTCACGACGATATCGACGGCATCCTTTCCCCTTCGACGAGCTCGGCTTTTTTGCGGGCGCTTCATCACCACGGCACTCCACACAGAAGCACATGGGATCATGCCCGGAAACCTTCGGGAAAAAGTTCCTGCTGTGGTTATAACGCGGCATGCGACCCACACGGTCGAGCACCCAATCGGGATATCCATTATGCGGATATTTGACGAGGTACTTGGTCGCATAGAAGCCTGCATTAGCTTTGTTGGGATAGTGGGAAAAGCGAATACTTCCAAATGCAGGAGCCTTGCCTTTGTAGTTCTTGGCTGTGATCTTTTCGGCAAGGGGCTGAGCCGTCGACGGGCGGAACCGTCCCCAGATCTCAACGAGCTCACCGTAGGGGATTCGCGAAGCATCGAGCAACATATGCCAGTGCGGCTGCTCGGTGTCTGTTTGGAACTCGACTACCCAGAAATATGCTTTGCTGTGCAGATGACCTCGATCATTCAGATCCCGCACGAATCGGGAGAGCAGTCGATTCTGCATGACATACAGCCATGCGACCTCGGGCGATTCAAAGAGGCTACCGTCCACGGTCAGCGTAACGCCGTAAACGTCCTGGAACGACTCTAGGCGACTCAGTAGCTTAAATCGCAGTTGGTAGCCTTGGCGTGGCCCACAGCCTTCACAAAACCACTTCCGACACGAACACTTCCGAACCTTGTAAACTTGCTCGACGACCGACCCTAGGTCCTCTGCAGAATCAACCCGTTCTTTTTCCTCGGGGAACTCATCTACATTCTCATCACAACAATTACCCTTAGATTGAAATAAGGGGTTGCCCTCCGGGGCCGCGGTCCGGTGCTCGCTCCGGGGCGCTTCGCTCCGGTCCGCGGCATCAGACGACGCCACCTTATCGCGATCAGGCTTCGCCTTGCTTGTGGAGGAATTGCCCCAGAAATGCCCCTGACGAGGATCAGGCGGCCGCTTTGCCCGCTTCCGGCGCTCATACACCGGTTCGCAGGTTTCATCCTCAGAGGGCTGATATGCGGGCTTAGAATCGGCGTTGTTCTGCTGCTTGCTCATGCAGCAGAAAATCGACGGCTAGAACGAACCTACCCCGGCCATCAGGCCGCGCGGAAAATGTCCGTTTCTCGCAACCCCGGCCATAGGTCGGCGTTACGCTTTAACTTTTTGTAGATGCTGTCTGATTGACCATTGAAATCTGGATCCGCACCCCCAAGCCCTGCGTCGATGGCGACTGCATTGAACAGCTTGCGAATATCTTGTGCGTTAAGCCGGCACTTTAACGACACGCGGTCTAGTTTTCTCTTGCATGCTTTCACCCATGCACGGATAGCCCGCTCTTGCCCAGGCTTCGCGGTCTGCCGCACGCAATCCAGCAGCCACTCACCTTTCAAGGCACGCTCGAGCTCGTCTGACCATTTCGATAGCATACCGCCCAAGGCAAATTTGACTTTCTTTAGAGTTAGCTTAGGCCGCGCGGTTGGTACACCCGCAAGCAACTCGCGATAACGCTCTGGCTCGCGTTTCTCCATTTGAAAGAGCGTCCTATGAATCGACGGATCATATTTGATCTGACCATCCACTGACAGCAACTGCTGCAATGCTTCCCAATCGCCCTGACGTGCTTTCAACAACATCGCCCAAGGAGTCCGGTGGAATTCAAGCCAACACGGCATCGCCACGGTCAAAAAGAATAGAAGACTCGGACGCCTGAACCACTCTCGATAGCCTTCCGGGAGGGGTTCCACATTTCTTAGCCATTGATCCAGCATTGGAAGGTGAGTGTTCCGGTAGTATTTTTCCACGCACTCGCTCAATTGGCGTCTCAGCGACTCATCCTGCTTTGGCGTCTTCCCCCGCCTGTAACAATCATGTTGGAACTCGCCCATCATTTGGCGGCGAAGATCAGGCCACTCCAACCCGGCTTCTCCAGCTAAACTCGGCTGATCTGGGTGATCGAGCAAATGCAGTAACTCACCTTCAACGCACAGCGGTCGCTGATAGCAAGCCATCCATTCTTTTGTCCCGATTCCGGACGCTTCGTTCAATGAGAACGCCCAGGCCTCACGCGCCTTTTGAATGACCTCATGGCAGTCGCTAGCGCTTACAGCGACTACCTGCGCGAACATCGCCATTGGCTGGAAACGTCCAACTGCCCATTCTTCGAGTGCCAGCATTTCTGCCCTCCTTCGGGACGACCTTGCAACTTCCCCACTTCTTAGGTCGACAAAGGACGGCTATCGCCGTTGATGATTCTTGCGTTCACGCAGACCAGGGGAGGACGAGGCCCCTCCTCCCCTTGGACCCCACCTACCCTCTTCTCTGTGACGGTTCCACCTAGCGATCAACCGTCTCGATCACAAAGTGTCCTGCTATTGGTACAAACGTACAGTACTACTTTGGCAAGTGAATCTCTACTCGCTAGATTTGAGAGCTAAATCATTGTCGTCCGCCCCCACGTTGGGGCGATTTACCGCAGCTGTTCAACTCACGTGAGGATGTGAAAATATTATGGGGGCAACAGCAGTTCAATCACCAACTCGTATTCGCCAGTGCGGCGAGTGTCAGAATAGCATGCCGATTTCCTGGACATATTGTCCACACTGTGGCCGGCCGCAGCTGTTCCCGAATGTAGATCTCGCGAAGGACCCAACTGAATGTGCCAAGCTCACAACTCGATTTGATCAGGCTGTTACTGATTGTGAGGAAAGGGGTTGTGCTGATGTCTTGGAAGAGTTCATCCGGTGCAGCGAACAGTCAGTCGCCGTATTAGCTTGCGGTCTAGAGAGGCTATGGAGAGAAATCAGTAGCGGTACTGACGTGTTTGAAACCTACTATGACCTCGACCGTATACGTCTTCATTCTTCCACTTCAGACGAATATGACTGGCCGAAGTTGCGTCCTCAGGCGGAATGACCTGCTATTGAAAATCTGATCCAGGTGTTATGAAGGTCTTTACGCATGTGAGCGAGGAGACCGAGATGACGACGAAGCGACGTAAGCGGCATACGCCGGAGCAGATTGTTCGTAAGTTGCGAGACGCGGACGCGATGCTCAATGCTGGGAAGGACCAGGCTGCTGTATTGCAGGCCCTGGAAGTGAGCGAAGCCACGTATCTGCGTTGGCGAAACCAGTACGGTGGGATGAAGGCCGAGGAGGCGAAGCGGCTGAAGCAACTGGAAGACGAGAACAGGCGGCTGAAGGAGTTAGTGGCCGAGAAAGAACTCGACATCAAGATGCTGAAGCATATCGCGGAGGGAAACTGGTGAGCCCTTCCCGGAAACGAGCGGCGGTCGGCGAGCTGCGCGAGGTGTTCGCAGTTTCCGAGCGAAGGGCGTGTCAGGTGACTGATCAGCCACGCAGCTCTCAGCGTTACCAGCCGCAGTCTCGTGATGACGAAGCGGCTTTGGTGAAGCGGATGCGTGAACTGGCCGCCGCTCGACCGCGTTTCGGTTATCGTCGGATTGCCGTGCTATTGCGTCGCGAAGACTGGGAGGCCAGCAACACGCGGGTGCTGCGGCTATGGCGTCGCGAAGGGCTGAAAGTGCCACAGAAACGCCGTAAGAAACGCTACTTGGGCGACAGCAGCCAAGCCTGTCACATTCAGCGAGCCGAACATAAAGACCACGTGTGGTGTTGGGACTTTGTGTTCGATCGCACGGAGGCCGGCAGCCCGTTGAAGTGGCTATCGATCGTCGACGAGTACACGCGGGAGTGTTTGGCTTTGAAAGTCGACCGCAGCATCACCAGCGAAGATGTGATCGACTCGTTGGCCGAGCTGTTCGCGATGCGGGGCGTGCCCGGTGCGATTCGCTCGGACAACGGCCCGGAGTTTGTAGCTGGTGCAATCCGGCGATGGCTAAAGCAAGTCGATGTCGAAACGCACTACGTCGCGCCGGGCAGTCCATGGGAGAATGGTTACGCGGAGAGCTTTCACAGTCGGCTTCGCGATGAGTTCTTGGAGATGGAAATGTTCGAGAGTTTGGCCGCGGCACGGAAGCTGACCACGGCCTGGAGAAAGGATTACAACGACGTGAGGCCGCACAGTTCGCTGGGGTATGCCACCCCGTCCGAATTCGCGACCCGCTGTGCTGCTTCCGTTCCGAAGTCGATTTCGGCTACGCCTCAATCAACTTCTCCACTCCAGCAGCACAGCGAAATACCCCAACCCACACCTTCATAGCAAGTGGTACAGAAATTTAAGGCTGGTCAGGGGAGAACCTCATAAAAAATGTGGTTCCGGAACCACGACTCGATTTTGGGAATGATCGAGGGGCTGTGTGGTTGTGCTGCGGAGGTCGATCCTCGAATTGCGCTTGACCCCGTCATCCGATCGCCTGGCCATCGGTCTCGGGCGTCCACCGTTGCAGTTGCTTCGATGTCGTCAAACGTTGTGGGGGTTGGTTTACCTTAAGGCATTGACACCCTTACGAACGCCGTCTGATCCCGCAATCCTCGCTCTCGTTAAGCACACGACACCAGAGCCCCGCCCGAGGGTCTGTCACCCCCGAGCCAAAGCCCCACCCCAATCGACCCCACAACCCCAGGCAAGCCGCAGGACCCATGCTCAAGGATGATGTCAAAGAGAGGGCCGAATAGCAATGTTTGTTTTCGGCCACCTGACCGCTCGCATTTCAAGTCACGCCTCATTCATACCAAGGCATCAGACGTCTGTAGATTGCCCCTGTGCAAGTTCAAGGATCGCGATGACTGCGTTAATTATTTCTACATTGGAAGCCTCATGATCATTGAGCACACGCCAATGCTCGGAGACATCGATGCCCGGAAACGCCTCTTCCAAGTCTTCTGACAGTTCTTCCCAGAGCCTCGCAGCAATAAAACCGCTCATACCTATAGGTATGCAGACGTGCCCAGCTTCTCGAGCCATTGAAAACTCCCGCCTCACTCCATCTGCTTCGATTAGTCCGCCTAACTTAAGATCCAACTTGTTGCCAGCGATAAATATTGCAGCACCTGCCTGAGAAATCATTTCTGTACGATTGTCAGCATAATACTGTTCCTTTGCATCACTATTCGGTATATCGTATGGAAACGGATATAGCCGAAGCCGCTGGCCAATTCTTGAGTTTTGATTTAGTGCAACCGCTTCGTGAGCTCCTAGAATCAGTGCGCCACCGACCCCCAGTCCAAAGCCCGATACTACATTGAACCCTCTGGAAACCAGGGCTCTCCCGAGATCTCGGGCCAGAAACTCTAATCTATCCGGAGTGAACGGTTCAAAAGCGTACGTTGAACCTGACACAAACACGTTTCTCGTGTTCACCTTCTTATTCAGATCACTCAAGAGTGCTGTTATTTCATTATATTCATCTATTGGCAGCACCTGAACACAGAATCGTCCGAGATCTGCCACTCGATGCTCGAATCGCCTACGCTCACGCTGTAAGGCGATAGAGCCTTCCGGCATCTGAGGAGTTGCAGCCGGACGACGCAGGATGCAATAATGCTCCCTAGGAGACATCGTTGATGGATCGACTATTCTCCGAAGTCGATTAAAGGTGTACTCTATGTTTGGATCGGTGAAACTGAACCCCACGAAAAGGCATTGACGCGTCAATAGATCAATCTTTAGAAATTCCGTATATGCGCCTCGGGTTAACTCGAATTTTTCGTAGTCATCTTTTGTAAGCACGGCTTGCCCAGGGCGGCTCACGTCGCCGTGAATCTTGAACACAGAAACATCTGAATATGGACTCCGATGTTTCAAGTGCTCCACTTCGTGCTTAACGTCAACTCTCTTATTTGCCCTTTGATACGCATTTTCTAACAAAGTGTCATAGTTCGTCGTCCACACTACATCCAGCGGTAGCCTGGCGAGCAGCATGTGATTGTCGGTAAGTGCGCCATCTCGTTGAAATTTCTGAATAATCTTTCGATCCAGCGAGTCTCTTCCCCCCTTTCGATTCACTTCATACTGCGCGACTGCGATCAGATCGTGCTCTTCGTCTATATCGAGCCCCAGGTCCTCAGCGACATCGCGGAGTAGGTCTCGCCAGTCTACGAAGCCCGACCCTATTGAAAAACCCGCACCAACAAAAGCAGCGGCCCGATTTTCAAGGAGCGCGCTCGAATACTCTCGGAGGAACTCTTGCGAAGAAATTTCACCCATGGACTATTACCTTCCTGCTAGTCTTGCTGCCTGCTCAATCCATTTCCCAATGTTGTCGTATCCCTCGTCGGCAGTCCAGGAATACTCCGGGAAAAGTGCACCAAATGTATGATTCTCCATATTTCCGAGGTCATAGGCGACATCTACCAGCCTCATCGTGGGAACCATTGAGTATGTGTTCCATTCATTACCATTTCGGTATTTCCAAGAGACATTGCCATCACGTACCGTAAACGCTACGTACTCCAATGGGTTTGGACCCTTCCTGGCTCTTACCCCAAGGCGATTCTCGATATCAGCTATATTTACAGCCAGCAGACCATTCCCTGAATAGAAACTTCGGACGATCTCGTAGCGGACCCAACTTCGTCGGTACGTCTGCTCACCAAATAGAACACATGTAACTCCCGTTCCATTCAAGGCTTCCGCTAGAAACCGTTTTAGAACATCTATGCCTGTACGTCGTTTGTTTTCGAATACCGAGCTATCAAAAAAACCTGCTGCTTCTCGGTCAGGCTTCGTCAACCAGGAGTTCCTTACAACGTAAGCTCGCCACACATCCGGTTCGTAGTGAAAACTAAAGAACGTCTTTCTTGCCACCAAACCTACTCCACTTGTGACTTAGGCAATGTGCTAAATCAAGAATATGGGTCAATACGCGGGGCGGTATAACTCTTATGGCTACATTGTGACACTTTAAAAACACGAAGAACACCCTCATCTTCATGCTGCCGCGGGTGGCACCGGTTCTTGAACCGGTGCGGCGAAGCCGACGGAGGTTTCGGAATATATGACACGCTTGAGATGGGGACGCCTACGGATTGGCGGGTGGCGTACCAGCGGGCGGAGCTCCAGGGCCAGTCGGTGGCGTGGTCGACCAGGCCGGCTCGAACGGGGTTGGTGTGCATGTAGTCGAGCTTCTCTGCGAGCTTAGCCTCTTCGTAGATTTCGAACGAATAGTATTTGTGATTCCAGAACGCCTGGCCTTCGCCGAAGTTGGCCGTGTAGTGGTCGGCGTGTTCGCGGTACCAGTTGCGGATGCGGAAGCTCGATTTGCGTTTCCAGCCGTGCATGAATGCGGAGTGTTGCCCGGGGATGGGGAAGCGAAGAATGGCGTGGGCGTGGTCGGGCATGATGACGAAGCCGAGCAGTTGGCAGCGGCGACGCTTTAGTTCCTGGTTCAGAACTCCGAGGACGATTTGCTTGGGTGGGTCGAGGTCTAGCAGGCGGCGTCGGCGATGAACGGAGAAGGTGACGAAGTGGGCGTAGCTGCGGTCGTCGATAATTTGTCGCTTGGCCATGCTGGGGATTATGGCGGGGTGTGGGGGTGGGTGGTAGTTTTTTTGCGTTGGTTTTTGGATTTGGGGTGAGCTGTTGGGGGTGGGGTTGGTTGTGGGGCCTCTGGCGGCTGCGCCGCACCGGATCGAGATCCGGTGGTACCCGGGTGTGGGTTGGGCGGGGGCTGCTTTCTTTTGAGCCTTGAGTGGGTTGTTGGGGGAGGCTTGGCTGTGGGGCCTCTGGCGGCTGCGCCGCACCGGATCGAGATCCGGTGGTACCCGGGTGTGTCATGCAGCATTTTTCGCAAGCTGATCCATCAGCTTATGGCACGACCCGCGCCATTATAGATGGATTGCGACCCAGCCACCCCAAACTGCAAGAGCCGCACCAAGACAAGCGATTGGCAGCCACCAATTGAGTCGCCGGGAGCTGATCGAGTGGGATATGCCTGCAATCACCGAGGCGATGGCCAGAGTGGCCGCAACAACAAGAGAGATTACCCCGATCCCAGCCAGATGGTTCGACCAATTACCCGCCCGACCAAATGCAGCTCCGAGACCGACCGTGAACGCAACGGCACCCACGACCGCACAGGAAGCCGCACCGACAATCAGTCGTCCAGGGGTGCTTAAAGCCATTTCTCACCGTATGGGATTTCTACTTCTGAACATTGTAAGAAGAACTCGGTCGAAAGAGATGCAACAGGATAGGGCCCAATCGAATCCGCGGGAGGTTACGCAGTATATCACACGCTTGAGATGGGGACGCCTACGGATTGGCAGTTGACGGAGCTGCGGGGCCTCTGGCGGCTGCGCCGCACCGGATCGAGATCCGGTGGTACCCGGGGTTTATTCCGAGTTACTGCGAAACAGGAACTGTAGGGTGTAGTGGCCTCCGTTCACGACCAATACCATGACGACCAAGAGGGTGGCGAATAGCCAGAGAACATCGAGGTCGGTCGTTCCGTGGGCACGACGCCACAGTTGTGCCCGAATTGTGAGCCCTAGAATCTCTCCAAAACAAAACAGATTGCCGCAATAGAGCGATTCGACTGGCCTGAGCAGACGCTGGAACGATGTGACCACGGGAGTTACGCAGAACGTCGCCAGAATCAACACCAATGCCCCGTAACCAGCATCGTAGGCGAGCATGCCAACCAGGACACCGAGAAGAAATGCGATCAGATAACGGAAGATCGTGGCTTTTCGGTTGGCACTCACTACGTTTATTCCACAAGTGATGGAAAACGATTCATTTGGTTGATCGAACTCTGGCGATTGGCTATCTGAGAGGTGCTGGTGGTGGATTACTTCGCTAAGGGGCCTCTGGCGGCTGCGCCGCACCGGATCGAGATCCGGTGGTACCCGGTTACTTCACCTTGTTATGCGAGCCATCACACGTGGGCGGCTTCTTGCTGTGCCCGCAGATGCAGTCGTGGATGCCTTTGCCGGACATTATTCTTTCGCGGTGCTGTTCTACTCTTTTGCTGCGGGTGGTGGATTGTTTGGCGGCGTTGATGAAGAGGACGTAGCCGCGCTGGCGGCCGGGGGTGAGGGCGTCGAAGGCTGCTCGCAGGGCGGGGCTTTCGGATAGCTTCGCTTCGAGTTCGGCCGGCAGTTCGAGCGGGGTTTCGCTCGCCGGGGCGACTTTGTGCCCGCGGGTTTCGATCTCGATCGCTTCGTGGACGTAGGCCGTGAGTACGCTTTTCAGCCGGTTGATTTCGGCCGTGGTGGTGAAGCGGACCGTGCGAGCCGAGCGGGTGTTCTCGCCCGGGGCGGTCAAGATGCCCTGGGGGTCTTTCAGCAACGCCCCTTTGAAGAAACCGATGGTGCAACAGGCCTTGAGCGAGGCGAGGATCGCGATGTTGCGGCCTTCGTGGGTGTAGCAGGGTGCCCGCCATTTGAACTCCTCGACCACGGGGCAGCCGAGCAAGATGGCTCGCAGGGCCTTGAGTTCTTTCTGCCAGGCCTTGGAGGTGTTGATGAAGTTGGTGACGTCGGGGTTGGTTTTGGGCATGGGGTGATGGTTCGTTTTTACTGTGGTTCGGCACTGCTGGACGACGCGGCTGTGGTGCCCACGGTGATGGTGTTGGGTAAGAGTGTGATTTGGTTGAGGGGTGGGGCTTTTGTTGTGGGGCCTCTGGCGGCTGCGCCGCACCGGATCGAGATCCGGTGGTACCCCAATAGAACGTTGATTATAGCGGTGGGGGCGGGTGGTGCTGGCGCGAACCTGCGGTGGGGGGCTTTGTCGTGAGGGGGAGGTGGGGTTTTTGTTCGCGCGGGTGGAGGCTTGTGGAAGATGGATGTGGATGAACATCGTACGCTGACGATTGAGCAGTTTTCGCGTCAAGCGGTGCCGTTTGCGAAGCTGCCGGGGCATTCGTCGGCGATTGAGGTGCTCGAGCGGTTGGCGTGCCCGCGGGATGAGGATGAGCTGCTGGATGTGGCGTGTGGGCCGGGGTTGGTGGCGTGTCATTTCGCCCCCTTGGTGCGGCGGGTGACGGGGCTGGACCTGACGCCGGAGATGATTTCGCAAGCCAAGGCACTTCAAGCTGAACGGAAGATTGACAACGCCGAGTGGATGGTGGGTGAGGCCGCGCCGTTGCTGTTTGCCGCGGGCACGTTCTCGCTGGTGTTGACGCGGTATTCGTTTCATCACTTTCGAGCGGCGAGCGAGGTGATGGCGGAGATGGTGCGGGTGTGTCGCTCGGGCGGTCGGGTGGTGGTGGCCGATGTGTCGCTGCCGGCGGAGAAGGTTGCGGCCTACGACGAGCTGGAGCTGCTGCGCGACCCGTCGCATGTTCACGCGATGAGTCGCGACGAGTTTGCCGAGGCGTTTGCCGGCAGCGGGTTGGGCGATGTTCGCTTTGCCGAGTACAAGGTTGACTTCGCACTGGAAGACCAACTGGCCGCTTCGTTTCCCGTGGAGGGTGGGGCAGAGAAGATCCGCGCGATGATGCGGCAGGACGTGGGCGTGGACCGGCTGGGGGTGAACGCCCGAGATGAAGACGGAGTGCTGCGGTATACGGTGCCGATTGTGGTGGGCGTTGGCACGAAGGCCCCGTGATGGGAAGGGCTCGCGGCCGCGGGGCGAGTTGGTACCATCGAGCGGATGACGGGTTGGCTTCGATGGGAGAACGTTGAACATGCGAACGCAGTATTACACCGCAGCGAGTTTGGATGGGTTCATCGCGACGGAAGATGATTCGCTGGAGTGGCTGTTTCAACTGGGCGACCCGGAAGAGACGAGCTACCCGGAGTTCATCAAGGATGTGGGTGCGTTGGCGATGGGTTCGACGACGTACGAGTGGATGCTGGAGAACGCGATCAAGCCGGACTCGGACGAGCCGGGCGAGTGGCCGTATGAGCAGCCGGTGTGGGTGTTTTCCAGTCGGCAGTTGCCGGCGGTGGCGGGGGCCGATCTGCGGTTCGTGCAGGGCGATGTGCGACCGGTGTACGACGCGATGCGCGAAGCGGCGAACGGCAAGAACGTGTGGCTGGTCGGCGGAGGAGGGTTGGTCGGGCAGTTCTACGACGCCGGGTTGCTCGATGAGATCATTGTGCAGGTGAGCTCGGTGACGCTGGGGGCAGGGAAGCCGCTGCTGCCGCGGGAGATTGTGAAGCCGCCGCTGAGGTTGGTTTCGGTTCAGCAGTTTGGGGAGGGGTTTGCGGAGCTGAGGTATGAGGTGCGGCGGGGGTGAGGGCCTCTGCCGGCTGCGATGTAGGAGTTCGAGACTTGGCGGGACGCGAGTTTGTTTGAGCGGTTGAACCTGTTCTATTGTGTTTGGCTATGAACATCCGTCCTTCGAACGCAGAGTGCTGATTAATGCTGTGGTTTTTGTCCCCGAAGAGAATTGCCTTGGTGCTTTTGTTCGCAATTCCAATGGGGGGCTTGTGGGCTTTAGCGGGAATGTATGGCGCTAGTGACACCACGGTCGGAATCATCGGAGGTGTGAGTGGGGTCCTGTCAGCAGCACTGGTCACAAGCTTCATGAGCGCTGATCAAGGAAGAAAAAATATGAAGCGCTAAGGCTTGCTGGAGATCCTTCGTGCGTGCGAGCACGGCACGCTACGGGGAATGACTTGCTTGATTAGCCCGCGGGTTTGACTTTTACGGTGCGGCCTTGGAGTTGGAGGCGGTCGGCGGCGAAGAGATTGAGGGCTGCGGGGTAGGCTTCGCATTCTGCGGTGAAGACCCGCTTGGCGAGGGTCTCGGGGGTGTCGTCTTCTTCGACGGGCACCACGCGTTGCAGGATGATGGGGCCGTGGTCGTAGTGATCGTCGACGAAGTGGACGGTGCAGCCGGAGATTTTCGCGCCGTAGTCGAGCACGGCCTGGTGGACGCGCCGGCCGTAGAAGCCGTGCCCACAGAAGGCGGGAATGAGGGCCGGGTGGATGTTTACCACGCGGCCTTCGAAGTCGGCTGGGATTTTGACGAGTTTCAGGAACCCGCCCATCACGACCAGCTCGGCTCCGAAGCGGCGACAGGCATCGAACACGGCTTCGCTAAAGGGGGCGACCCCGTCAAAGGATTTAGTCTCGAAGACCTCGGTGGGGATGCCGGCTTCGGCGGCGATCGACAGTCCGCCGGCTTTGGGGGTGCTGGAGACCACGCCGGTGATATCGATGTCGAGTTCGCCGGCCTCGATCTTCGCGAGCAAGTTGCGCAGCGTCGTCCCACCTCCGGAGATGAGTACGACGACTTTGAGCTTCGAAGACGGCATGGCTTCTGGTGGATCTAGCTGGAGTTTACTTGGCGGGCTTCGATCCGCAGGGCTAAACCTATTGTTTTGCTACTCGAACGTACAGTTCGAGCGGATGACCATCGATTTCCAGCGTCTTCAACTCGGCCTCGGGAAGGACTTCGTTGACGACCCTGAGGGCGAGGGTTTCCTTCATCAGGTAGTCCTGGTGCTGGGCGAGGGCTTTCTTCAGCGAATCGTCTGAGGTGATGAGCCCGATTTCGATGCGGTCGGTGTATTCGCAGCAGAGTTCCTTGCGGCGGTTCTGCACGGCGTGGATCACTTCGCGAACCCAACCTTCGGCGATCAGCTCGTCGGTGAGTTCGGTGGAGATGACCACTACGGCTTCGCGGCCCTGGGCGGCGGCCCAACCTTCTTTGGCTTGCAGGCGGATCTGCAAGTCTTCCGGCGTGAGCTCCAGGTCGGAGTCGCCGAGACTGAGGGTGACCTTGCCGTCGGCTTCCATGCGGGCCATGAGTTGGGCGGCGTCGGCCGTGGCGAGGGCCTTTTTCAGCGCGGGGATCTGTTTGCCGATCTTCGGCCCCAAGCGTTTCAAGTCGGGCAGCACGGTGTAGGTGATGTACTGTTCGGCGGCCTCGGGGAACTCGATCGCTTTGACGTTGAGTTCTTCGAGGATGAGGCCTGCGTGATCTTCGAGCCACGTGCGATGGGCCGGGTCGGCCACCACGACGAAGACCTTGTCGAGCGGTTGCCGCACTTTGAGTTGGGCCTGCATGCGGGCGCTGCGGCCTTGGGAGACGACTTCGCGGACAAGCCGCATTTGCTCGGAGAGCGACGCATCGATCGCCGCGGTGTCGGGCCCGGGGAAGTCGCAGAGGTGCACGCTTTCGACCGCGCGATCGCCGAAGGGCTCGCGGGCGAGGGCCTTCCAGAGGGCTTCGGCAATGAAAGGCACGAACGGTGCAGCCAGCTTGGTGAAGGTGAGCAGCGATTCGTAGAGCGTCCAGTAGGCGTCGCCCTTGTCGGCGTCGAACTCGGAGCGCCAGAAGCGATCGCGACTGCGGCGGACGTACCAATTGCTGAGCGCGTCGAGCAGCGAAGTGAGATGCCCGGCGGCGGCGTAGTTGTCGTAAGCGTCCATTCGCTCGGTGACCAACTCGGTGGTGCGGTGCAGTTCGCCGAGAATCCAGCGGTCCAACTCCGAGCGTTCGGCCAACGGGCGATAGGTCGAGGCTTTCGCGAGCACCTCGGGCCCCAGCTCGCCGACTTCGCCTGCGAGTTCCGAGGCGGGGTCGAACCCGTCGATGTCGGCGTAGATGACGAAGAAGCTGTAGGTGTTCCACAGCCGGAGGATGAACTCGGGGATGCTCTCGCGAATGGCCTGTTCGCTATAGCGAATCGACGTCCACGGCGGCTGGTTGGCGAAGAAGTACCACCGCAGGGCGTCGGCCCCGTAGCGATCGAAGATTTCGTTGGGCTCGCGGTAGTTCCGCTTGCTCTTCGACATCTTGGCATTGTCTTCGCCCAGCATCAGCCCCAGCACGATGCAGTTGCGATAGGGATGCGGGAAGTCGACTTCTTTCAAAGTCGATTCGCTCGAGCCGGTGTCGCCGTCTTCTTTAGGGCCGAACAACAGCGTGCTAATGGCCAGTTGGCTGTAGAACCAGCCACGGGTTTGGTCGATGGCTTCGCTGATGAAGTCGGCCGGGAACTGCTCGGCGAACTTCTCGCGACCTTGGTGTGGGTAGCCCCATTGGGCAAACGGCATCGCCCCGCTGTCGAACCAGCAGTCGATCACCTCGGGCACCCGACGCATGCGGGCGCCGTCGGCTTTGGGCGAGTCGTAGGTGACTGCGTCGATGTACGGTTTGTGGACCTTCAAGTGATCGGACAACTCGGGCTGTGCGGCCTTGGCTTTCTCCCAGACCTCGGTGCCGGAGACGCCGGGTTTGGCCAGCAGGGCTTCGTAGCTGTCGATGGCTTCCATGTGGCCAGTTTCTTCGCAAACCCAAATCGGCAGCGGCGTGCCCCAGTAGCGTTCGCGGGAGAGGGCCCAATCGACGTTGCTTTCCAGGAAGTTGCCGAAGCGGCCTTCACGAATGTGCTCGGGCAGCCAATTGATTTTGGCGTTGTTCGCCAGCATGCGATCGCGGAAGCGGGTCGTGCGGACGAACCAGCTTTCGCGGGGATATTGAATCAACGGGTCGTCGTCAGCCCGCCAGCAGAACGGGTAGTCGTGCAGGTACTGTTCTTGATGGGCCAGCAGCTCGCGGCGCTTGAGTTCGCGGGTGATGTCCTTGTCGGCCTCTTTGACCCAGCGGCCTTCGTACTCGGGGGCGTCGGCGGTGAAGCGTCCGTCGGGACCCACGGCGCAGATTAAATCAGGGCCTTGCCCGGGGACGAAGCGATCGATCTCTGCTTGCAGTACGTCGTAGTCGACCTCACCGAAGGCGGGGGCCTGATGCACGACGCCGGAGCCGCTTTCGGTGGTGACGAAGTCGGCTGCTACGACGCGCCAAGCTGTATGTTGCGTACCGCCGTCGCGTAGTTCGCCCTTGCGGTCGCCCTCTTTAGCATAGTAGTAATCGAAGGGTGGCTTGTAGCGGCGGCCCACAAGTTCGCGGCCGGGGAACTTCTCGACGACTTCGAGTTCGCACTTCATCTTGTCGGCCAGCGTGTCGACCAACACGGCGGCGATGATGAGTTTCCGGGGTCCGCCATCGACCGCGCACGTGGCGTATTCAATCTCTGGATGCACGGCGGCGAACTGATTGCTGGGTAGCGTCCAGGGGGTGGTGGTCCACACGAGCAGCGATGTGTCGGACTCGGTGCCGTTATCTTCCAGCAAAGGAAAGCGGACGAACACGCTGGGGTCGGCCACCTCGCGATAGCCTTGGCCGACTTCGCCGGCGCTGAGGGCGGTGCCACCTTGGGCCCACCACCAGACGATTTTGTGACCTTGGTAGAGCAGGCCTCGCTCGAAGAGTTGCTTCAGCGCCCACCACACACTTTCGACGAAGCTTTGGTGGTAGGTCACATAGGCTTCGTCCATGTGGATCCAGAAGCCGAGCCGTTCGGTGAGCTGTTCCCACTGCTGCGTGTACTGGAAGACGCTTTCGAGGCACTTGTGGATGAAGCGTTCGACGCCGTAGGCCTCGATCTCTTCCTTGGAGTGGATGCCGAGTTCTTTGCAGACTTCGACTTCGACCGGGAGGCCGTGCGTGTCCCAGCCGGCTTTGCGTTCGCACAGTTGGCCCCGCATAGTGCGGTAGCGGGGGAAGATGTCTTTGATGGCCCGGGTGAGGCAGTGACCGGGGTGCGGCAGGCCGTTGGCGGTGGGAGGGCCCTCGTAGAACACGAACCGGGGAGCGTCTTCGCGTCGCTTGAGCGACTTCTCGTAGATCTGCTGTTCTTTCCAGAACTTGCGGATCTCGGCTTCGAGTTCGGGGAAGCGAACGTTGCTCGGCGGTGGTTTAAACATACGGGGCGCAACTCGGCAAAAACAACGACGGCGGCGGAAAACCCGACACCCACAGTGGAAATCGGCGAATCACAAATGGCCGCCGAGGAAAGACGCTGAGTAGACCACGGAAAGGGGTTTTTTTCAATCGTGGCGGGGGTTTGCGGAGATGGGGGTTGTGGGGAGGGCGGTGTTTGTTGAAAGGTTAATTCTGTAGATGGGTGCCTAGATAGGCGACTCTGGCCCAGGCAAAGTGTGGTAGTGATATTTCGTGGAGAATGGTCTCTCTTTGGTTCAATTGATCGACGGGATGCGACCCCAACGGGGTCGAACATCGAAGCCCAGGGTAAGCAAAGTGGCGTTGCCGCTGAGCGTCACCCTGGGTTGAGTAGGTGAATCTGACAGCAACCCTGCAAGGGTTGTACAACTTCGGCTGCGGTGAGTGTGGAACCCTTTCAGGGTTCATTTTTTGCAGCACATCTCGCTACCCAGGGTGGCGCGGCGTTGCCGCTGACCCTGGGCTTTGTTGTTGAACCGC